AACTCACGACCTTGCGCTTGCGAGGCAGGCGCTTTTGCCGCTGAGCTAAATCCCCAGCCCCTCCAAAGGGATTTTAGTCATGTAGACCAGGCCTAGAATTCTCTATCCCTCTGACTCAGTCTCCTGAGTGTTGGGACTACAGGTGTGTGCCACTAGCCCTGGCTACACTTTAGATGTTTCATAAGAGCCAGATAGGCAGTAAAAATGATAAAAGTGGGCTAGTCATATACTCTCATTTTTCTGCAATATATAACTTTTCATGCTATATTTTCCCGTATATGATAAAGAAGTGTTTTGGTACAAGTACTATTCTGTACTTCGTTTTCCACTTACACTACCACATAAGAAAAATGATTGTGTAAAAATGGTCATATTGTGCCTAGCGTGGTTGTGCACACCTGTAGGTAATCTCAGCACTCAGGAAGCTGAGACAGGAGGAGGATCAATTTGAGTTCAAGGCTAGCCTCGAATACGTAATGAGACACGGTCTCAAAAAAAAAGAAAAGAGGTTATAGTGTGACTTGATGAAATTAAGGGTCAAATTTAAGGTTTCTTTTCTATGCTGTCATGGAACTTTATATTATATATACATAAATGTGGCATTTCTAGACTTTTCTTTTTTCATGGCCTGGAGGATTGAACCCAGGGCACCTGCCCTCAGCTACTCTCCAGCCCTTATTTTATTTTTTATATTTTGAGACAGGATCTATCTAAGTTGCCAGGTTGCCCAGGCTGGGATTAAACTCTTGATCATCCAGCCTCAGTGTTTGAGGTACTAGGATTGTAGGCGTGTACCATCACTTTTTCCTCTCTTTCGTTCTTTGCTTTCTCTCTTCCTTCCCTCCTTCTTTCCCTCCCTCCCTTCCCTCCTTTTTCTTTTTTACCTTTTTTACTTTTTCTTTTTTTTGAGGGAGAGTCTTGTTATGTTGCTGAAGGTAGCCTGGAGCTCTCAGTCCCCGCGCTCAGCCTGCTGCCGAGTAGCACTACCATGCCCAGCTGTCAAATGTAGTACTTCTTATATTGTGGTTTCAAGTTTTGGGTTCATGTCCTGGTTTGATACGCAGAGCTTTCTTAGTTTTCCAATTTTATCTCTGATCATTGAACTTCTATTCTTCTGTGTGCAACCACATTTGCACTCCATTTCAATCTTCCTGAATTTTAGTTCCCAGCATACCGTTAATGCTCTCCCACCTATCCTTCTTTCCTCCCAGCTCTGCATGAATCAGCCTCTAGACCTGTGGTGCTAGATGAACTTCCAGCTCAGAACTCTTAGACTTGAGGCAGGCATAGGCTTTATTTTTGTCTGTGGGGTGTGTGTGTGTGTGTGTGTGTGTGTGTGTGTGTGTGTGTGCGCTTCACTGGAGTACATAAGCACTTTGTAAGCACTTTCAACTGCCCCGTTTAGGACTTGCCTGGAATTCTCCAAGTTAGAGCAGCATCCAGGATTAAATTGTGTGCTTCCTGGATGTTCAGAAGATGACATACTGCCTCTGGTATCAAATTTGATTAAACTTGATAAATTTAATGCTATTTGGTTCTACTGGGGAGGAAGAATTTAATTGCTTACTCTAGAGAACAGAGTTTTCCCAGTGACTAAGGAACAGAACATTTATTAAAATTATCTTGGTGACCTGAAAGGGAGAAATGTACTTTTTTTTTCCTTGGTTGGTCCAGGGCATTATTAACTTGAAGAGAAAATTGAATAATGGAGCAATACTGACTTCTTTGGGATTCAGCCTTCTAGCCCCTGCTGTGTGATTAGTTCTGTCCAAACTGCTGGTGTGCTTGAGCAGGGAGCCTGCAGAGGATTTAGGAAGGAAAAACCCTTTAGCAAGTCTCAGGTACTGAAGACATGTGATTTAATTTCACATCACACATGGTTATCTGGTTTCCCTTGGCAACCTCCAGTGCTGCCCTACTTCAGCTGAGGATGGCAGGGTACATTGCACACTGGATGACATCATCTGGAAGGGAGTGTAGAGAACGGACTTTGCCTATTAAGAGACAAAAAGGTCACTAAAGGACACGAGTCCTTTTAAAAAGAAACTAGGTAGTTTTCTGTAGCTCAGACTTCGTTGATGAAGGAGATTCCAGATCTGCCTACAACAGTTTGGGGATGAAAAGGAATGGAACCAAATCCTATACCTCTTTTATGGGATAAATCTAAATTTTTCTTACTACAAATTACGGGTAGGTTTTTACTATAATAATCAGAATAGTTACCATTTATTAAGTACATGTCTTACTTGGAATCTTACTTGGTTCCTTAACATACATGATTTCATTACATTCTCATATCTCTGCAGAAGAAACATTAATATTTCTGTAGAGGTGATGTTTATTGATCTCTCAAAATATAAGGCCGAAGGAAGGGTAGGACAATATTGAGCTTTGTGACCTCAAAATCCTATCAGTTTCAATAGCATTTATTATAAAACAGTATACTAACTAATATCCATTGATGCTTTTTTGTTTTTTGAGACAGGATCTTGCAATGTAGCTCAGGCTGGCCTTGAACTCACTATATAGTCCAGGCTGGCCTCAAACTCATGGGGCTCCTGCCTCGGGCTCCAGAGTTTCACCACGCCCAGCTTATTAATGCTTCTAGCCACCCGAAAAAGTTTAACTTATGGTAATTTTATTCTGACTCTCATTTTTCACATTAGGAAATTGAGACGCAGAGATCAGTGAAGCTTGAAGCTGACTTGTAGTAATTTTCTGACTTCTGGTCATTTGTGGATTGTACTCTTTCCTTACCATTGGAAATAGGGCTTGAATAACTGGGAGGAGAAAAGGAAGGAATCTTGTGGTGCATTGAGTAGTGTGAGATTGAGCTGGCAGACGTAGTAAACAAATCAGCCTTTGGAATAGTGCTTACTTAGTGATTAATTTGTTCTCTTTGGCTCAGATCTGAACATACTAATACACCTAATGCTTCTGAGTGATAATAAGTCTTTAGAAGTGTCTAATACCCTACTGGTCATTAGTAGGGTACTAGACACTTCTAAAGGAACTCTTGTTTATTGAAAAGGAAAAGGTGCTGCATATAATACCGTATATATACAGAGTCTGCTAAAAAAAAAATATACACACTTCAAGAAAAAAAAACTGGTACAAATATTTTAATACTGAGTTGATTAAGAGGTCCTGAGATTAATACAAGTTACTGTTGGCCTTTGCACTTACCAGAGGTGCTCAGAGGGGTATGTATTATCTTCCAGACATTTATTAATACAGTGAGCTGCTGTTTGGGTAACCTTGGTCACTGAGATCGCTGCCCATGCATTTTCAGTTTCTTCTGTAAGGGCTGGCAGTGTAGTGGGTTTTCTGGGATATATGACATCCTCTAGGGTCCCCCACCCTCTAGGGTCCTCCATCCTATAGGGTAATGGCATCTGTTGACAAAACATTGTACTGTTTTTCTTTTCCTGAAGTGTATACATTTTTTTAGGCAGACTGTCGATGAAGTCATGTCTGAAGTGGATGTGAGTGACAGTGACCGACCATTTTTGTGACATGTGAAAGCATAAGCTGCATGTGATATTCTATTGACTTACATGTGTGGGTTTTTGTTATGTTCACAAAGTGTCACACATTATGACAGGCACACCATGCTCTTTTTCTCAGTGAAAGCTGTGGGAGCCTATTGGCAAACTGGGAAACGTTAGTGACACACATTTACTGTGAAATGCATTTTACATGATGTCATTTAATCTTCTAACAACTATGACTGTGAATATGATAATCTTCATGTTAGTAATTTTTCAGTTTTGTCTGTGTGTGTGTGTGTGTGTGTGTGTGTGGTTCTGGAGATTGAACCCAGGACCTTGATACTGAGCTATTTTCCTGTTATTTAAAATTTTTTTTGTTTTGAGACGGGGCCTCACTAAGTTACTAAATTGATCAAGTTGAGCTAGGACCTGTAGTTCTTCTGCCTCAGCCTCTCAGAGTGTGGGATTATAGGCACGTGCCACTCTACCAGGCTAGTTCTTTTCATTTTTTCAATTTTTTATTAATCTTTTACACAGTTTTCTCTAAAAGATTACGAGAATTTTCAGATATATAGAAAAGGTGAAGAATTGTCAGTGAATGGCATAACCCACTTAGATTCTATGATTGTTACTACTTTTGTAATTTTTTTTTGAGACAAGGTCTCACTATGTAGTTCAGGCTAGATTAGAACTCACTATGTAGTCTAGCCTGGCCTCTAACTTGCAGTGATCCTCCTACCTCAGCCTCTCATGTGCTGGGATTACAAGCAGGTGCCACCATGCCTGGTTGTTACTACTTTTCTGTATTTACTGTATTATATATCTAGCCATCCATTTATTTATCTACCCATCAAATTCATCTTAGCTTTTGTTGTATTTCAAAGTGAGTTGCATATATTACTACATTTGACTCTGGAATACAAAAGTGTGAATATTGTGAATAAAGTAGAGTTAAAAATATTATCTCTATTAAAAAAAACAACAAAAATCTGCTGGTCATGGTGGCTCATGGCTGCAATCCTAGCATTCAGAAGGCTGAGGCAGGAGGATTGCTGTGAATTTGAGGCCAGCCGGTGCTATGTAGCAATATGGACTACATAGTGAGACCTTGACTCAAAAACAACAACAAAAAACCCCATACTGGAGCCTTCAATTCTATGTTGTGGGGTCTATGCATAAAGTCACTTTGGGCTTTCCCCCATGAAATAATAAGATATTTAAAGAAAAAGTATATAAGCCACCCATACCTCACTGATGAGAACTAGAAATCTGTAGTGAGGAGGGGGATACCCCTGTTGGATTCCTGGCCATAGCAAGACAGCCTTGTGAAATGAAATCTTACATTTCTGATTCTAAATGAGACTGAGGTCACTGCAGCATTTCCAAACTCAAATGAGGGGAGTTTGATTAGCAAATTAGTTAAGCACTTTGGTAATGATATTGGAACTTAATTTCACTGAACATTTCTCCCCTTTTCTCTTCTTTTTGGTGTGACTAAACTGCCTACAGCACGCAGCATGGTTGCTGGTAAAACAGGAAATGGGGTAAGTAATTTCGGTAGGGAGTTTTCACCACCATTTAAATAAAGTACTTTTACTACTACTCTCTCCTTTCTTAGAGTGAATTCATTAGCAGCTACTGGAGAAATAATTTTTATTGTGTAATTCTATGGTGTCAGATTTGTTCAGTTAGTTTACTTGCGTAGTGTATTAATAATCTGTTGAAATGAATTCATTGTTTTGTATGTGTAGATTTAATGTGAATAGAGCTCTGTATTTTTGCATGCATTAGGCACTGTATAATGAATTTTGGGAATTATCTTAAAACAATATATCATACGTTGGTCTTCAAAACTAAATTATTAATGTAGGCCATAAATATAAAGTTTAAAATTTTAGTTAAGGCAGAACAGTAGTGAGTTTATATACAGATAACTCATTCAAAACATAAAATTTGCAATCCTTCATCTGAACCCTTTGCAGGCCAGATATGTTTTAGAATTTTGAGTTTTTGGATTTTAGGAATGTAGTATGATATTAACTACCATATATAGCACACTTCTTTCTTGGTGTGGTACTATATAATCAACCATATTAATATTTTTATAGTGAAACATAATATTCACACTAAGTTTGGTAAACAAAGTAAATAGCTTCATGTGTTCGAATCAAGGTTTGGTTGCAACCAGGTTTTTAAAAAAACTTTTAATTCTCCAGAGCTTTTTGGATTTTGAAACTTAAAATTCTGTACCATAAAAAGAGCCAAGCCAGGTGTTGTGGTGCACGTCTGTAGTCCCAGTACTTGGGAGACTGAGGCAGGAGGATTGCTGTGAGTTTGAGGCCAACCTGGGCTACATAGTGAGTTCAAGGTGAGCCTAAACTACAAAGCAAGACCCTGTCTCAAAAAAGATGTTTTTTTAAATTAAAAAAAAACAAAGGGCTGAATGATTGTTGGAATTTTCTGTAAACTCTGGAGAGAAAAGCCCAGAGTATAGCTGTTTATATTAGAATCTCATGCTTGGTTAAGTAATTTAAAGAAACAGTAATTTATTTTTTGTTTATATTGTATTTGACATCTGCACTTTTAAAAGGATAATAATAATGACATTTATCAAAGGTACGGGGGTTAGCTAGGTTTTATTAAATTAGTCACAAAAGCTTACAATTCTGGTGTAATAACAAAATTTGCCCCTACATTTTTAGAAAATCGTTATCACAGTAAGAACGTGCCATTTTCTAGATGTTTTCAGTTTGCGTCCGTGTTGCTTGTGAATTCCTTTTCATTCTCTGCACTATAATCCCGAAGTCTCTGAAAGCACTCCTGTAACCAGTTCTAGTCTCAGCTGGATACCGAATGCATAGATGAACTACTTTTTCATTTGTATTTTGAGAGGAACTGTAGTTTTTATATTATTTTTTTCCGGATCAATTTGTTCATTAGCTAAATTACTGTTTTGTTTTCTGCCTACAATTAGTAGTGTCTTAAAAAAAAAGTTAGTGGTATGTTTTGGTCTTGCATAATTATATTAAAATGAATATTGCTTAATTTCTAAGTAATTTCTGTCAGTGAAAATTAGACATTAAAAGGGATGATTCAAACTGGGCAAGTGGTACATGTTTATAATCCCAGCCATTTAGGAAGCTGAAGCAAGAGGATTATAAATTCAAGGCCAGTCTGGGCAAAGCAAGATCCTGCCACAAAAGAGAGTTGTAGATGTAGATCAGTGATAGAGCACTTGCCCAGGATGTGCAAGGCCCAGGGTTCAATCCCCAGTACTTGGGGAAGGAAGAGCATGTGGGAGATTTACCAGCAGCCCTGTAAATAGCCATAAGGATGTTTGCAGTTTTATTTGGATTATGTGAACTTGCTAACTTGTTAGTAACAGCTCAGTGTTCTCCACCAAGTAGAGCAATCTTAGTAATAGCATAGCGTGCTTTTCTTTTCTCTTACCTCCAGTGCTTTCTGTTACAAACTGGAGCTAGATATCGCAGTAGGGGCTTCCCAAGACCTGTGCATTGGCTCCTAAGTAGACTTTTAAAGAATGGGAGATATTTATTCACGTATTTGTCATTACATTGAAGAGCATTCCAGAACATTGATACTTCAGGATTTAGTATTTCTTCAACAGTAAAGGGAAAAAGCCAGAGCTTTTACATTGGCTTCTCAAAAATAAGGCCCATTTTCAGCAAGAGAGAAGATGTAAACATTTTAAATATGGTTATGATTATTGTAATAGACAATTTTTTAGTTTCTGAGCTGAAACAGTCATTTTTTTCTTACCTTTCCAGAATATATAAATTCTGGATCTGGCAGTTCCAGTTCAGAAAAACATAGTGTGTTTTTATCATTGAAGTTTAAAATATTGTTTTATATGTCATTAAAAAAAATACTTCCTTGATTTCACTAGAATGTTGGTCCATGAGGTGAGAAATCTTGGTATGGTTTATCCTCTGCTTTCTATCTAATGTATTAAATGTGACATATGATAGGCACTCAATTATTTTTTTAAATAATTCTTGCCTTTCAAGGAAAAAGTGAAGTTTTTTATATCAGTGAATTAATTTTTGTTATTCAGAAAGCAGAGTTTGTCGCTGGGGAGAAGTGATGTAGTTCAGTTAAAAGAAGCCTACAAATGGATAATGCACCCCTTGTTTTCAGAGGAACTGGGTGTTCCCATCGATGGAAAGGTATTGGATTATGTACATTATTAATTTTATTCTTTGGTTTTATTTTATTATATGACAGAGTTTTGTTCAGCCAGGATAGTCTTCTCTGTAAATAATTCAGTAAAGGGTTTCTAAGTTTTTAAACTGTTAATTTCTTTTTTTTTTTTTTTTAAGACAGGATCTTGCTATATAGTTCAGGCTGGTCTTGAACTCACTGTATAGCCCAGGCTGGCCTCAAACTCATGGCAATCCTTCTGCCTCAGCCTCCCGAGTGCTTGAATTATGGGCGTGCACCACCACACCAAGCAAAATATTAATTTGAAGTTAAAGTCTCTTTTTTTTCCCTCTAAGACTTCTTTGTAATCCAAGACATTTATGTATTTAAAAAGTAATGTGTACCCTAATTAACCTTAAAAGGTTAAGAATAACCTGGGCCTTTAGCATTTAAATTGGAGGGGCAGATTTACTGACACAAAGTGATATAAAAATAACTGTGACCCAGTACAGACTCAACTCTAGACTATTTAATTTTGTTATATCTGTGGCTAATCGTATTTTAAAGTACGCAGAAGTTACATATTCAACTACAGTGAAAATAGGTTCAGTCCATCCCACCTGTTGGTATCTCAGGTCCCTTTGTTTATTTTTAGTCAGAGACCGCTTTTAAAACCAGAATACTTAGGCACAATCCTAGATCCAGAGAACACCCTGCTTCAGTCCCTGAAAAGGGGTGAATTTCAGGGAAGAGCTCAGGTTTCCAGATGTGAAAAATGTGTTAAAATCTTAAAATAGAGTTAGTATGTCTTCCTTGCCTGGTCATTTTTCTTGAAGGAAATTCCCGGAGAACCAGATACTCTCCTATTCAAGTAAAATCACAGAGTCATCTTCCAAAGCTAAATAGTTAGGTTTGTAACCATTCTAAATTCTACATTCAGGCGGGGATATAGCTCAGTGGCGCAGTGCCTGTCTTGCAAGCATGAGGTCATGAGTTCAATTCCTGATACCAAAAAAAAAAGAAAGAAAGAAAATTAAAAAAATAAATAAATTATACATTCTGTTTCCTTCAAATAGTCAGAACAAGCTCTGTCTTTGAAACTGAATACTAAGAGAATAGAGAATAAAACTTTTTTACAAATAGTATGAAAAGGAAATGAGGTAATGCAAGTACTTTGGAAATTAGAGAAGACATTAATGCAAAATATTTTTACCTCAAATTTCAGTTTTAAAGCACAAGTAGTTTTACATGTTGAATCAGGGAGAACAAAAAAACAAAATAAAAGATGTAAATGTTCTGATAAGTTCAGGCCAAATGGATGTTTCTTTAATAACAATTGTAGTTCAGTTTAATTTTATTTTGTAGATTAGAATAGGAGCCCCAAAAAGCAATTTATTATAGTGATTCTAGAGTAACTAATGAGCTTGCATACAATCCAGTGAACTTACTACACAACAAAGTACAGAGCATAATAAAAAAGAAAGTTGTGACATAGTGACATTTATAGCTTTTTTTCTAATACGGAATTTTGTATATTTTCTGCAGAGGTAAAGGTATATGTAGTATGAAATCTTTTTCTGTATAAGAGTATTCATTGTAGCATTTTTTTATGGAAAAAAGGAAAATTTTCTGTAAGTTAAGTGTGTAACAATCCTTAGAATTGAAAGATATCCATGAAGTAAGATTAAATGAAGCAATTTTCCAAAGGTATGCTTAATTCCTCAAAAACATATATGTTTAAATTCTTAAAAATGGTTAGAAACCCACCAAATTGTTAATTCTACCTTGGTGGAATGGGATTGAAAAACCATTCTGTATTTGGTTATTTTATGATTTGTAGGTACCACTTGTGTAAAAAAAAAATTAAGATCTCTCTTTTAAAACTAAAATTGATTGAAAAATTTGAGCATTTTAAAAATAAGACTTGGGTGTAGTAGTACACTCCTGTAATTCCAGCACTCGGGAGGCTGAGACAGGAAGGTCTCTATGAGTCAAGGCCAGCCTGGGCTATATAGTGAGTTCAAGGCCAGCCTCAACTACATAGTGTGACCCTCCCTCAAAAAATCAAAAAGTCAAATAAAAATAAGCTTCAAGCTAGGCACGGTGCTGCATGCCTATAACCTCTGCTACTCAGGATCTCAAGTTTGAGGCTAACCTGGGTAATTCAGCGAGACCTGGGGTGTAGCTCAGAGGTAAAGTGTCCCTAGATTGATCTCCAACCCTGAAAAAATATTCTTTGTACTTTTGAAGGATATGAATACAGTGCAATGTTTTTTGCCTCTTTATTAAATTTAACCATAGTATTGACTGAACCATTTTTTTCTTTTAGTTATTATCTCTTTTCAGGTGTCTAAATTCTCATTCATCTTCAGACCTCATTTACATAGATGCCTTACAATCATACAAGTTAATTAAAAAATTTGAAAGACCCTTTTGGTAGTATCACTAGTGACTGAATTTTTAAATGGAAAAGTAAAAGCCTTTCGTTTGTAGCTGCTGTGTGAACAAACTGTTTTGAGAGCCAGGAGTATTTCTAGTTTTCCTTGTCATTTTTTCTGCACCAATCTTTGAGAGTTAATTTCAATTTCCATTGATAAATTGTTAGATGTTAGTTTCTCTTTGCTCATTTTAAAACTGTCTTTATAATTTTTAGAGCTTATTTGAAGTGAGTGTGGTCTTTGCTCACCCAGAAACAGTTGAGGATTGCCACTTCCTGTAAGTTGCCACGTAAACAGCAGTGTCAGTTGTATAAAATTGTTCTTTCTTTTGGTTTTCATAAAAATAGTATTGTTTCTCTTTCTAATGAATATTTCAAAACTTGTCGTGTTAAAATGTAACCTCTCACATAAAGTTCCTGAGCAAACCAGTGCTGCTCATGTGGAGATTCATTTTGACTGAACCTGATATCCTAGGTTTAGCAACCATGTTATGTAAAATATAGTTGAATTATATCCATCCCCAAATGAACTCATTAATCTTTTTTATTAACTTGAATTTTATTTTAGAGGTACGATTTGCCCAGATTGTTTCAAGCCAGCCAAAAACAAACAGGTAAGTATATTTCTTAATTTTTAGTGAGGTTTTTGTACATTAAAAATGTGACTACTCTGTTATACCAAGATTTAATCTTTAAGTATTTCCATTTGCTACATTTATTTTTATTATTTTTTTCAATTCTCAGCACCTTTGCCTGGCTAGGAAGTCATAGCAGACAAATATTTGTCAGTATCTAGGCTCTTCCACTGGTTCATTAAGTTTAGAACCAGGGTTTGAATAATGTTACTGTTTGAGGAAATTCAGCTTTTAATTTTTAATTCCCCAAATTACATCATCTGGGGAAAACCCATGGTATCAGTAGCATTCCAAACCTTTGTCTGATGTATATTTTCTAGAGATTGGTGTTTAAAAATATAAACCAAAGTAAACGTTTTATTCAGGCAGTCCTGAATTAATACAATTTGAATATTCCTTATCCAAAATGCTTGGGCTAGAAGTATTTCAAAGATTCTGGAATTTTTGGATTTTGGAGTAGTTGTATAACGTTGTTTGAACTTCATTAATCTGGATTTTGAATTTTCAGGTAAAGGATACCGTCTGAATAGCTATATCATACTATGTTTGCCAACAGACATTTTGTTCACACTCTTCTTGAATGTCTGCTGTTAGCTGGTTTTCATGTTAATGAACAAATTAGTTTATTGCTTTCAGTACATGTGCCGGGATAGAAAGGCATAGTGCGCTATTGAGGCAGTCTTTCATGCCCTGGTTGTTTAGCTTGTTCTGTACAGAGAGGCATTTCTGCAGTTCTACTGATATCCATTTTGTTCTTATGATTGTTAGAAAGAATATGTCTATTTTTTTGTCAGAGATACATATTTTGGTCTCTCTTTTGCTTTGACCGATTACTTAGCCTTTCAGAAAGAGGGGTGGGGAGAGTTTGTAACATTTGTCAAGTACTGTGTCTTCTACAGAAATAATTAGAAGTACAGACAGACCTCAGACAGTGCTTCCGTACGCTTCTCAAGTCGTTCCAGGTTGGAACCAGCAGGCCTGGGGGATCCCATTGTCCCGGGCCCTGCCCAGAAGCCTTTGTGAACTAAAGGGAGAGGGGTCTTGGCACAGCTGTGGCTTGCTGCTTTGCCATACCAGTTAGGGAGCTCTGCCCAAATGACTTCTAAAATATTTGTGCTGATGATCTAGTTTCATTTCTTGTTACATCTGAGGAAATATGGAAGTGCTAGCATCAGATAAGAGGATAAGAATTTTTTTCCAAAGCATCTTAGACACCATGTCCTTTGGCCAGTGGGAGTTGCAAAGCCTCAAATGTAGGTTCTTTCTTAGTGGCTGAGAGTAAATTGAATGACCTTCTGAGATTCTTCCAGGCCAAGATTTCATATATTATAAAACAGGCACTTAATTTTCAGTTCTGATCATATGGTTCCTTGTGGAACTACTCCCTAGGGTTCCCCAGAATATGGTTTAGAAAAATCATTGCCATCATTGCTTTCACTAAGGATAAACTGTGAAGATGCCTACCTTTTGCTCCTTTTTAGTCATCTGTGAATTCTGTAGAACACAAGAAGCAATTATGATTTATCATTGTAAGACGTGAATATATGTACTAATTGAAGTGTGGCTTTTTATTTTAAAAAATTCAAGTGAGCTATGTGTGATGGTGCATACCTGGAATTCTAGCACTAGGGAGGCTGAGGCAGGAGGATTATGAGTTTGAGGCCAGGGTGGACTACATAGTCAGACCCTGTCTCAAAACAAACAAAACCCAAACCCAACTGGGAGATTTGTTGTAGATGCCCTCCTGTTACTTTGTGGCTGTCGAATGACACTGAACTGGTAGGTGCGAGAGAAGACCAGTTTGCTCATTTGCCTCTTGCCTTACAGGCTAGTCCTAAGTTATATGCTCCTGTCACCACTGAAGGGGTGTCTGGGAAAGACGCTCAAAGCATATTATGTGCAGTGTCACCATTTTTGTGTTTGAAGAATGCCACGCTGTGAAGAGTGGGCCCGTGCAGTAGAGGAGACTTGTTCTGCTTGATCTGCCTGGCACTGTGGACATTGAAGTATACCAGCCACAGAGCTGACGTTATGAGTGCTTGCGTATTACTTATTTTCTTTGAGCCGTGAAGTCTTTGTCCCTTTTAAGTATGTAAAAGAGTGTAATCTCTCTAATCATGTTCTGTACTTCAGCTCCAGTGTTTTATTGTTTAGGTAATGATGCGCCTTTTCTTTTCATTTTGCCCTATATAGTCGGTGTTCACTAGAATGGCAGTTATGAAAGCTTTGAATAAAATAAAAGAAGAGGATTTCCATAAGTAAGTAGAAGTATAAAAATAGGGAAGCAATCATGGACTTTAAAATAAAGGGAATGTTAGAGATAATCTGGGTTATCTCTGAAACAAGACTGGATGTGTTTGGGGACCATGTCTTATAAGGCCCTGGCTCAGTAGCTGGCGTGCAGTGGTGTCCAGTATATGTTTGTCAAATTACTCTTTGAATTGTGAATCAAGCCCAACTTCCTCATGTTTAGAAGAGGATTTTTATGTCCAAAGAGGACCCATCTTGCCTAAGTTTTCAACTGGATAATAGAGAGTGAACCTCTGTTCTAGTGCTATTTTTATTATACCCCTAATTCTGTAGTTCGAGGGTGGCCCATCTCTAGAAGAGGGAGCAGGCTAGTGAGTTTCCTTAGTTGCCGTGGGACTAGCAGGGACTGGGAGCACGGGAACCTGGCCTAGGTCCACTCTCTGTTCCTCAGTTGAAGTCCTAGGCAGATTAACTCCATCTTTGGCTATCACTGTCTTCTAAAATAAAATGTTAAAATATGCTAAGTTACAATAAGTACAGTAAACCTTATATTTTAATTCTCAGTGCATTTATTTTATTAAATAAAATATTAGTGTAGTTATGCTTTCAGAACATTCTGGAATAAATTTCAAGCAGTGATGTTATGAGGAGGGTTTCATATCTTTTACTGACTGAAAGTGAATCTCAGAGTGGAAATATTTTTATTACATTTTAGAAATTAAACATAATTATACAAGCAAGCCCTAGTTCCTGCATTTCTAAATGATTTCTTTGTAAAGACATCTTGGGAACCTAGGAAATTTTTAAGCCACACATATGGGGTAAATTTCATGTCTATCTGGATGTTGTGGCTTATACCTTATAATCCAGCTACTTGAGTGGGTGAGGCAGGAGGATCACAAGTTTGAGGCAAGCCTGGGCAATTTAGCAGGACCCTGTCTCAAAATAAAAGAGTTGAGGATATAGTTCAACAGTAGACTATTTGAATGACCCTCTGAATTAAATCCCCAGTACCACCAAAATATACATATATATCCACAACTAGTAATTTATAGGTAGACTCCAGTTTGTGGCTTCGGAAATTTCCTAGGTCATGGACAGAAAATAAAGCCATATGTTGTTCTTTCCCATCTGTCTTCAGTTGGGTTGAAGTTTCTTAGCTAAGAGGGTAGAGTGTCAGTCACTGTCTCCTTTTTCTGCTCAGTGGTCTAATTCCCAAAGTCATAGTTGGAATGAGAAGGAAGAAAAAGGAAAAATGGTAAAGTACCCTCCTAAGGATGGACCTGTGGCACTGGTGGATGCCCTCCACGGAAGGGACCACTCACTGCACACCAGCCTCACCCAAACAGTTGAGAATTGTGTAAGCCAGCAGCAGGTGGCTGAGGAGAGAAAAATGGTGGGGGACACTGGAGGGGCTTCTACTTTGTATATATATACATTTCCCCCTAATTCTCAAGGCTGTTAGAAATCATTACCTGGGAAAATGAGGCTCCCTGAGCTTGAAAAGTAGCATCTGAGGCCTGATTACTTAGTTCCACTGCTGTGTGTGTGGTGTTCCAGGGTGTGGGAGCTGCCCATGACATCTGTCACCTCACTGATGGCCAGGGTTGATTCGGCTGATGTGGCTGGCAAGGCGGGTGTCCCTTTCCTCCCTCACGCTCCCCGTGCGTCCCTCCGGTCCGAGTACGAGCAGCCCCTTCCCTTGGAGGAGGACCATTTCCTATGTCGGGAGCTGCGCTCCCCTGCCAGAACCACCAAACAACTCCCAAAACTGGAACTCCAGATCCTGACTCCTGTTGTTCCCAAACTAAAGGTTAGAGAGAGGCATAGTCCTTTAGAGACCCAGGTTCTGTGTGTGTCCCAGACGATGCTGATTCATCTTAGTTTTATGACTCAATATCATGTCTGGAAAACAGTAGCCGTAAAATTTATTTTTTTTTGCAGGCAGTTTCCCTGTCCTCCAAACTCGCCAAAGGCTGTATGCACAGTTCTTGAAATTGAATGTGCTCATGGTGCTGTTTTTGTGGCTGGTAAATTACTTAGTCTAGAATATATGTACACTGTCAACCTACTGTCCTTTCTGAACCACTCAATTGACAACTCTCCCGCTTTATTCTTACTGTTGTTAGGAGGGTCTGGTTAGTTTACTCTTTTGAGAAGTAGAACTAACAGCCAAAGTATTTTAGATTCCACAGCATTTCTTAAAGATCATCAGGAAATCTGTTATTTAAAATACCTTGCCAAAGGGAATTTCCATCAGAGATTGAATTTTCAACTTTTCAAATTTATTAGTGTCGATCAAAGTGGGCCAGTAGAAATATGGGCAGATGTAGAAACTCATAACTGATGAGAAAAACTGCGGTGTAGAAGGATGTTTTATATGACAAGGAACCCAAACTCGAAAAAATAATTCTATTATCTCCCAAATGAGTAAACACTTGGCTTTCCCCTGAAGAAAAGTTGTTGCATTGACTTTTCCAGGCAATACTATAGCAGTTTTTGTTTTGAAAGTTAGGGCTGCTTCACAGTAATAGCTGAAGTGGAAGTGTACTTCAGCCTCGATTGCCCTGGGGCAGTGAAAACTTCTCCCCTTAGTGTAGCTTTATTCGTAAAGCGGTGAGTCATAGTCTGCTAGGGTGGGTTTTTTTTTTTGGTTGTTTGTTTCTTTAAGTTACAAAAACTTCAAAATTTTCTATATTTGAATCCCTTGGAATGTATTATCACCAGTGACTGTTGCACTGAGAATATTATTAATCAGGTATAAAAGCAACAGTTTTTTAAAATGATCCTTAGTATGTACCATTCTATAGCTTGGTCAGTCAGCTGGTCATATTACTGCATATACTGCGCATTTTTCAAACTCATTCCTACCATGTTGTTAGCCATCTGTTCTATGTTACTTTATATATTTTTATTTGATTATCTTCATGTCTATTACTGGCTCCTCAAGTCAGATGTGAATTAAAGGCTAAGCCTTGTTTTATATCATAAAAATTACTATATCCTAGCACCTAGGATATTGACACTCATTCAAAATTGTTGCTTCTCTTTTTATCCTATTGTGTTAATTATACCATTCCATACAGGTTACCTAATATTTCTTTGACAGGGAGATACAATAAATACTCCAGAAATCTACCACAAACTCCTTGGGTAATTGATGGAGAAAGGAAGCTGGAATCTTCAGTGGAAGAATTAATTGCAGACCATCTATTGATAGTATTTAAAGCAGAGAGTAAGTTATAATACTGATGTTTTTAAGTCCTTGTCATTCATGAGCAGATTTCTCTGGGTTGGCAGGAAAAATTACTGTATTTTGTTAATCACTACCAAGTCTAGGCCGTATAGGGATTATGTCCAGGCTGCTCTGGCCGAGGCTGGTGTTTAGCCGAGGTGTCCAAGGATGTCTTTCCTTTCTCAAAATGCCTATTCTTTCCTGGAAAATGGAAAACAGTTGATATCACTTTAAATGAATGCACTTGGTGCACCGCATTTCTCACATCTAGTACTTATTTAACAGTCATCACTGGCAAATGTGTAGCTTCTGTTTTAACATATGAAGTGTGTTAGGATGAAGTTCAGGCCTAGAGAAATTAGACGAACAGAAGCCATTTTAGAAAACTTCATGCCACCATGTTTTCTTTTAACTTCCTAGGCATTAATGTGCCCAGAGTTTGTGGGATGAGTCAGGTCCTGTCAAGCTTATGTTTTCCTGTCTCAGCAGGCCTGGCAGGTCAAAGGCAGCATAAAGTCTTGCAGTTTCGACTGGGATATTACTGTGAGCTATTGCCATGAGCTTTTACTTCGCTTAATATTTACAGACTGGTGATCTCCTAAGTTTTATGATTCAGTATCACGTCTGGGAGATTATGAAGATATAAAAATACAGCTGACCATAAAAAGTCTCTTTCAAAGTCTTTCTGGTGCTGCTGGACTCCTTTTCTTCAAGAAAATTCAAAAAAGTCTTCAGTTCTATTTTAAGTCTTAAAGAAGCAGTTCCAAGGGAAGCTCGTGTTATCTCAGAAGGCTCTGAAATAGATGTATGTTTCCCGCTTGCAGTCTTTCATGAAGTTGTCATTTTACACATGAAGGGAGAACTCTTGTCCCCAAACTAAAAGTAAAGCAAATTGTGTGTTCAGTATGGATGCTCAGGAAATTTATTAAGAGCCGTATGAGAAAAAGCAGACCTCTAGTTCTTTGTGCTAACTGTCTCCTTGTCAGGTGATAAAACCTTGTTTGAAATCCTGAATTAATTTACTGAACCCATGTTTCTCAGATATATCAGTTGTTACTCTTGATTAAGGGTTTATATCTGAAAACTCTAGAAAGATGACTGTAATTGTTGTGCCCTTAAGTTTTACAGCTCTGTGAAATAAACCAGTATTACATGAAGCAGCCTCCCTACTTACGTAACCATTCTTTGCTACACATGGGACATCCAACTTGTTTCTTAGTCACCACACACTGGCACATCCTGTTATCTACTTGCACATTCCCTAGTTGATGAGTAATATTTTGACACTCTTAAAATCAGTGAGTCTAAGTTTTTCCCAACACTGCATTTATTTTTGTTTTTGTGTGAGACGGGCTCTCGCTGTGTAGTTCAGATTGGCCTTGAATACACTGTGTAGCCCAGGCTGGCCTTCAATTTGCAGCAATCCTCCTACCTCAGCCAACCCAGTGCTGGGATTATAGGCGTGCGCCAACACACCAGGCCCAATACTATGTTTATTACTTCATTTATTGACTAACTGTTTATCATGTCAAGTCCCTGCTGAAAAGTGATGAGCTGTAAGGTAAAGCCCAGCTCCTTAACTTAGTATTCTGGGGCCTTCTTTATCTGGCCTGTGCCCATTTTTCAGCTTTGATGTCTGTCTGCCCACGGGTGCAAAGGCTACTGCAGATTAGCTGAACCATGCAGAGGTCCTGAACACTCTTGCCCTTGATTTTGCTTTTGAAACACCCTTTCTTTTGAGTAGAAGACTCAAAGAACCCAAGAATTAGAGGCTACGGCAAGAACTAATGTGCTTTTAGAAAACTCATCTAACTTCTAAGTGTATATTTTCTAATACTTAAGGCACAGGCTTCTTTTTCCTTTTTGTCAGCTATTATTCCTGGTTGCACACTAATAAAGTTTTCAGGTTTGCCCCTACGGGTTTTTGCCACTCTATGTTCCAAGGGTCTTTTCTTGGCTCTCAGTTTGAAACATTTTTTCTAAAAGGTAGAATCCATACTTCTCCTTCGGTCTGGATTTGGTGCTTCTCTGGCCTTCTCGCTTTCTACAGCTCTTTCTTTGTATGGGCAGGAACCTGGGGGGAGTGTCGTGACTGGACGATGAATGAGAGTTTCGGCCCGAGTTCATGTAACCGGTAGACTTAATTCTGAGTCCTGTTCATTCTTGCTATCGTGCTAGTCTTGGATTGTAGCTTCTGTGGGCCCCCTGCTTCTGACTGGGAGATGGGTGTAGAGAGGTAGAAGGCAAACCACTGCAAGGGAGTCTGGGCCACGGCTTCCTAGAAAGCCGCGGCTTTCCATCCTTAGTGCGCTGTGTGAGTCTGTGGACTCCGGAAGCTTCTGATATTGCTGTGGGCTTATTAGTAACTTGACATTGGAATACAGACAGAAGGTGGAGGGTTCCCTGGGACTTAGCAGGCCAAAGACTGATTGATTGATTGATTGATTTCCCTGTCTCTGTCTGTCTGTGTGTCTGTCTCTCTCTGGAACACGAAAATGAGTCTTTATTTTAACAGGTCCTGTGCTGCAGCACAGGGCGTCAGGACATGAGCAGGGAGCCGTCCTAGACTAACACCAGGAGCTGGCTGGAGAGTGCTGCGGAGAGAGCGGCTGCTGGCCTGGTTGGCGGGGAGCTAAGGCGGATGGTTGCTGTGAACGTTGGGCGTGTGTGGGGGCCCCAATCCCGCCCTTCCGGACCTTGGCTGCTGCAGGGCGCCCCCTCCCACCTTCAAAAGCAACAGTGTCCTCCTCCCTGCCTGGCTTAGATTCTTCCTTGGAAGGGAGCCTGACCTCATCCTCCTGAAGCCTGAAGCCCATTTGGCCAGTCCTCAGATGTCACACACAGCATGGCCACCCATACCTCTGAGCGAAAGCAGCCGCATGAATTCTAGGCCTCCTTTGGATATCTAGACCTCATCAAATTAGCCCCGGTTGCTCCTCTCTGTGAGACACACAGTTCTGGGTCCTGTGGGTCATAGAGGAGCTCACTGCACTGGACACCACAGCAGATAGCCAGAGCCTATTTCTAACAAATGTTGGCTTTGATCTGCCAAAGGGATTTCTAAAAGGTGAAGGAATCTGAAATCCTGTTTTCTCTACAGCGAAACATCTCAGTGTGTTTTCATGGGACTTTCAAGCCTGTTAGCCTTTCCTTCCTTTCCCTTCCCTTTTCTGTTCTGTTCTTTTCTAAGAAAAATTGTCTTCCTGTTTTGCCTACACTGACCTTGAACCCCGGACTCAAGGGACCATCCTGACTCAGCTTCCCAAGCAGCTATAGGCATGCCTCACTAACCTTCGTTCTTCTAAAATTTGCATGGAAATTCTGAGTGTAGAATCTTTGCTGAGAGGAAATGGCTGTCACAGTGAGATGCAGTCCTTCTCCCTTCCATCATCTGCAGCAATCTTGTTCCTCTTTACCTTGTGTTCTCCAAAGTGGCTGGAATATTGGGGAATAAAGACAAACCCCATTGCGTGTGTTGGAATTGGGCCCTTAGTGCAGCAGTGTTCCCGCACTTATGCTGTCTTATGCCTAATTCACTTTTTGTAGTCTGTATCCCTCCACAAAGAGTGCGAGCCTAAGACTTGTATCCGTTGTGTTTTCCTTTGTCTTTCCAGCAGCAAGCATAGTGCCCTGTACTTGGCAGTTACCCGGGAAACACTTGCTCACTGAATGGCTAAGGCAAGGTGTGAACCTGAGCTCTTCTAGCCTTCGGTCTCTGTATTCAACAACCTTACACTTTACCGCTCTACGGGTTCTTAGTCAAAGTTCCTAAAACATCCCAGCCTTGTCTAGACGCTGGTCAAAGATTGGTCCTGTCTCCCAGGGTGCAGTCTGAGCTCTCAGGTTATATCTTTGTGATCGGTAGGGCCCTGTGGTTAAGAGTCTCTGTGGAGACTGCCTGGTGCTACCATTGGGTCTGCATTTCTTAGAATGGTGTGACCTTAGGCAAGGGGTCCAGCCTGTGTGATAATGGCAGTGTTAACACACATAAAGCTCTTAGAATAACACACCTGTTCATGGTAGTATTTGCTGTGGTGGTGGTGATGAAATCATCAGTCAGCTCTGTATCTAAGAATGTTGTTGTATACTTTTCATTTAACCATTTTCTTTATCCAGTTTTTATAGTTTTTAGTTTGTGATGATCTGTTTATTGTAGGATGTACACCGGTTTAATCATAGCTCTAGCTTAGGTTTGATTAGACAGTGAATTTGGTTTTTAGGCTCAACGCCCCCCCCATTTTTATTTAGAGGCTTTAATTCTTATGTAAAAGTTTTTTTTCAGGGAATAAAGATGATAGACTTTTTGCCATAAGCTGGTGGCCACAGAGGTGGTGGGGCCTTTACTCAGGCCGTCCTGCGCCTCCGCTTTCCTGTGTGATGATGTCAGAGTTTGACGTCGGAGTTACCTAGCTCTGTCCTTTAACCATGTGACTTTGGGAACATTGCCTACATTTCTGTAGCTTACTGTTCTTCTGTTTAATTCTTCACAAAGTTATAATAAGGTTTAAATAACGTACGCATAAGTGTTACTCCAGAGCCGGGCATATAGTGAGGATGCAGTATGTGGCATTCATCGTGATCGTTTCTGTTTTCCTCAGCGGTTGGACTGGATGGAATGATGGCTGTCCCTTGGGCTTCTCCTGCAGACTGTCCCCGACTGTAGAGTGGGTTTCTCTCAGAGCTCGGGAGCAAGCATCTTGGGGTATATGTCTCTGATTTTTTTCCTTTGTCTGTTTTCCAAAGGCTTTAATTTCTCATCCTCTGGAAGAGAAGATGTAGATGTGAGAACATTAGGCAATGGTAAGATTACATCAGCATTAACTTTGCAGTTATCATCTTTTGCAGACGGCAGCCTTGCTGTAGTCACTTAGTCAGAGCTAAGGTAGGCAGGGCCCAGAGCTCCTCCGGGCTCAGAGCCTTGCGGATCGTGGAGCTGCCTTTGCAAATTACGTGATACCCACTTCACGGGAGCCGTTTCCTCAGAGAGGATCCTGGTTGCATACTCGTAGCTTGTAAGGGACTTTTATGTGTATCCCTCCCCCAAATTGGATTAATTGTTCCATTTAGTAACATTTCAGAAGTACCAGTTTTCAAAATTTATGTCCTCATTTAAAAAACTGATTCTGCTCTTAGCTTTCATTTCTCTCTTTTTATCTTACTAAGTTACGAAAGATGATGAAATATAATCCTGAGCTATTTGACATTTATAGTCCCTTTCTCTCATGGACTACAGTTTTTCTGTTTCACTAGTGGGTTGGGCTGGGGAGTGGATTTCGACTTGGTATACCTGAGCATTGTTGCATGTGACAGTGTAATAGCACCGTAACCATAATTCAGAGGTGATTTTGTGAGGAACGCAGGCTTGCATGCGGATCTTTGGGAACACAGTCATTTTCACAAATCGCCCTTGCTGGGGTTTAGCAACCCCTGTGCTCCTGAAAGCCGCTTGATTCTTTTCACATGTTCGTCCCCCCAGATGTAGTCATGCACTGAACTTCTGGCCTGTAAGGCTCAGCCCATTCTCACTCCTCACCCTCTTGCATGAGCCTAAATGTTAACCCCGTCGACGCGTCTCTGTTTCATGACGGGGTGCACTCCAGGAAGGCCCTTTGCAGTCGAGCTGGTGAACCCTCGTAGAGTGCGTTTCACATCACAAGACATGAAGGAGCTTCAGCAGGTAAACCTCTTCACAATGTGGAAATAGTCCTGTTTCTGCAACTCGGAGCTAGAACTGTTCATTGTTTTTCTTTTTCTGCTACTACAGAAAATTAATCAGTCATCCAACAAAATCCAAGTACGTGATTTGCAGCTTGTCACAAGGTAAGGGTGGGTTCATTGGAGATGATTCAAAAGGGAAATTTTAGTTGTAGATCATAATATCTGATGAGGGAATTGCACCTGGAAAAAAACAAAGAACTTTCTAACAGTCCAGTCAAAAATGGGAAAGTGATTCAGTAGACATTTCTGCAAGGAAGACATGAACAGCCAGTGAACACATGCAAAATGCTCAGCATCATTAGTCACTCGGGCAATGTAAATCAAAACCACAGTGCGATCCCACTTCACAGTCACTAGGATGGCCATTATAAAGAACAGAAAATAACGAGCGCTTCCAGGGTATACACAAACTGTAACACACATTGTTGGTGGGATTGCACATGTGGCTGCTTTGGAAAATAGGTTGACATTTTCTCAAAAGATTAAATATAGAGTACCCATGTGAACCAGCAGTTCCTCTTCTAGACTTTATATTTGCAAGAGAAAGGAAAATATACATCTGCACAAGGACTTGTACTTGAGTGTTTATAGTAATAGTATTGCTAAAGCAAAGAGGTAGTTACTACCCAAGTGTCTGTTGATGGCCGAAATGTGATATAGTAGTTTCCCAGTTATCTGTGGAGGACATGCTCTCTTTTTGTTTTTGTTTGCTTGCTTTGAGACAAGGTCTCACTATGTGGTCCAGGCTGGCCTCAAACTTATAGTGACCCTCCCGCCTCTGCCTCCCAGGTACTGGGATTAGAGTGTGTGCCACCACACCCAGCTGTGGAGGATGTGTTCTAATACTCCAGGAGATGCCTGGAACGGTGGATAGTTCTGAATTCTCTATCCTATGCTTTTTCATATACATGCCTGTGATAAAATTTAATTTATAAATCAGGCACAGTAATAACTAGAACAATTATAGCAATATACTGTAGTATAAATTATGTAAAATATATGAATTGTTTATTTCTAGAACCTTCCATACATGTAATGTTTTTAGCTCAAGGTTGCCTATGGGTAACTAAGACTGCAGAAGGTAAAACTGTGGAAAAGGGGGGATGACTGTATAGCCATGCAATGGAAAATTATTCAGTAATAAAGACGAATGAAGTACTGACATGGCACAACAGAGATGAACCTTGAAAGTGTTATAAAGTGAAAGAAGGCAGTTATCCAACACCACATACTGTATGAGCTGTGTTACCTGACGTGTTCAGAAGAGGGCTGGAAATGAGTGGCCGTCCAGGGCTGGAGGAAGGGAGGAATGGGGCGGGACTGCTAACGGGAGTGGGGTTTCTTTTGTGGGGTGACGCGGGTATCCGAAAGTTAGGTTGTGGTGATAGGCACACAGCTCTGTAACTATACTAAAAATCATTGAATTGTACAGTTAAAAGGGGAATTGGATGTAAATTATATCTCAATAAAGGTATTTTAAAAGAAGGATTTGGAGCAAGGCTTGTGTATATTTTATATATTCAGAGCATTTTCTTTAATTGTTTTTACTTAGAGAAGCAATAGGACATATGAAAGAAGGTGAAGAAGAAAAGACCAAGACCTATAGCGCCTTAATATGGACAAATAAGGCAATACAGAAGGAAGACATTGAGTTCCTAAATGATGTAAAGGTAGCTTAAATGCCGTTGTTCTTCTTACTTTATTGTTCTGTTGCCCATAGAAGAAGCCACTGTTTTCTTGGTTATTATGAGTGAGTCCCAGAGTGTGGGTTTGGGGTCTGTGAGAAGTAGATTCAAATTCTGGCTTTGCCATTTATTAGTTGAATTCCTGGGCTTCCATTTAACCTAATAGGCAGTGCTGCTAATGGTTAAAAGCCTAACTCTGAAGACGGATCACCTGGAGGCAAATCCTGGATCTGCATTTCTTAATTTCTAACTTTGAACAAATATGAATAGAATCATAATGGACACAGAGATGCATATAGTTATTGCAGCATTGTTTATGTGGGCTATATATTTTATAAAAATCGATAATGTACAAATTTATTTAACCTCATAATGCTTGAGTTTCTTCTGTAAAATTAGTGAAATAGTTAAATAAGTTTAATCTTATAAAGCACTTTGGGTGGTTCCTGGCACATAGAAAACACTCAGCAGTGTTTATCTGTAAGAAATAAAGATGACATAAAACCTAGAATAGAATCAATGCTAAAATTAACTGTGTGAGTAAACATGAAATAACATATATTTTGGTACTTGCCTTCACATGAGCGTGTCACAGTAAAGGGTCTCCCTGTTCTTTTGCATATTTCTTTCCACTTGCCTTTACTTCTATGTGTAAAGATAATTTACTTTTTTTTTTGTTTTGTTTTGTTTGAGACAGGGTCTTGCTATTAGTTCAGCCTGGCCTTGAACTCAATATATAGCTAGGCTGGTCTTGAATTCACAGCGATTCTCCTGCCTCAGCCTCCCAAGTGCTGAGATTACAGGTGCAGGGTACCACTCCAAGTGATAATTTACTTTCAAGTGCAAAGAATGAACATAAATGGACACAGAGATACATATAGTTATTGCAACATTGTTTATGTGGGCTATATATTTTATAAAAATCGATAATGTATTAGAGGGGACTAGTTTAAAATTATGACTTAACTGTATAATGGACTATTACTACTCAGTTCTTTAACATAGGAAAATGTTTCTGATAAGTGCTAGGGGGAACAAAAAGGGAAGGATGTGTAGTGGGTGGTACATTGTGGTTTAATATATGCATAAAAATATCTGGGTGTGTGTATGTGTGACTATGTAGGAAACTAACAGGATGGCAGAAGACACCATTGGTAGGCTTTTTACTTATTATGAAACCTACAGGTAACTAGTAGATAGTGGACAAGGGATATGAACAGACAGCTGGAAAGGGACAAGTCAAACAGGCCAAGAACCACTTGGAAAGACGACCTCAGCCTCTAGGGTCAAGTAACGAGAAGGTATCGCTGTATCCCCTTCCGCTGAGGAAACCAAGCCGTGCGCTTTAGAGAAGCAGGAGAGTTGCTTATGTTCAGCAGAAATGTGAAGTGTTTCGGAGCCCTTTTTGGAAAGCAACACGGCAAGGATTTTAAAATGTAAAAATGCACGTGTTTTCTATCCAGCACACGGTCTGACAATCACTCTTGGAGACATGAAACTCTAAGACATAAAGATAAGTATACACAAAGATTTACTGACTTTGTTCAAAGTGGCAAAATCAACAGTAATAAAACTAGAAGCAAAACAAACGTGTCAATAAGGAAATTATAGATTATTATATAGCTATTATAAAAACAAAACCAGCATATGATCACATTCGATATATCTTAGTATATATATGAGGTATGATTAAAAAATACAGTGTGTGCTTAAATAAAAATGTATTACAGTAAAAGACGCATTGCCCGTAACCCCCCTGAAAACACCCCCCTCGCTTCAAACACACTTATCCCATTATAGTTGCCACTTTCTGAAGAAGTTTGAGAAGTCCTTTCATGAGTGTCTTTATAAATTGTGCTGGCCTGGCTGCCTTGAATCATTCAAAACATTTACGTGTCATGGTTATTCTGACCTTGGGGAAGAGCCAGAAGTCACATGGTGCCAGGTCTGGTGAACAAGGTGGATGCGGACACACCGTCACGTGCCCACGGGCACTCAGCCCCGGCACTGAGCACATTTGCTATCGTACCTGATAGGGACCCTTGTAAAAGAGGACGTTACCAACTGCTGTGAGTAAAGAACAATGTGATAAGTATATTTGAAGCGAGGTGGGAGTGCTTTGAGGGGGATTAATGGCAATGCGTCTTTTACTGTAATAAATTTTAAAAAATTACATATGCATTGTGTTTTTGATTACCCCTTGTAACGTGCCAAAAATGTTGAGGAAAAGGTAAAGGTGTATCTGAATCTATGACTCAAAGAACCCAAGACATTCTAATAAAAGAAGTGAGGAACAGAATAGTACTTACAGCATGAGTGAAAAGCGTCATTCACAAGTGCTGCTTGGAGAAGCTCACATAGACGGGGGCATTGCTGGGTCACCTTCTGCTGCCCGTGCGGTTCTCGGGTTCTGCGATTCTGTAGGCCTCTTTTGGCTTTTGGCCTTGCTATCTAGGGGCTTTTAGGTTAGTAGTTACGATATAGATGGCTAGCTTTAAAATTGCAACATCAAGATTTCCAAACTCTTTATGTATTCATATATGTACACATTATTCGGAATGCTTCACTCATGTGTATACATTATTCAGAATGCTGTGGGCAAAATAAATCCATTAAAAAATAGATTCCCGGCTGGGGACAAGCCCTTAGGTTTGATCCTTAGAACCAACCAAGAAGATTTATAGTTTGGGATAGCGCTAGAGCTAATTTAGAAATAACACTCTAGGGTGACTTTTGTCCGTATAGGTTAAGCTGTGAAAGGGTCTGTTTTAATGTTCCACAACCCAAGTGGACGGATGGGACTAGTGATTCGTAGTGACATTCTGACAATAACAACATTTCAAATAATCTTACCAGCATAAAAATAAGAATTCAGTTACTTCCTTATTGAGAAAAAAATCACTTCACATTTATTATTTGTTTTCTCTCATTTTAAAAGGCAACTTACTTAAATAAAAATTTGTGTGTTTGTGAAAATTCAGCTGTATGGGGATAATGGAGTGCAGTGTTAGAGTAAGCAAAATGACTTTTTGTCATCTAAAAGCGAACAAAAGACACACAAGCACGTGTTTCTGTGAGTGCTGTGTCAGAAGCAGCGATGGGTATTTCTGTTGACAACCTGGCTTGTGGTCAAAGTACTGCAGTTTGACTCAGGCGGTAAAGGAACCAGGGGAGAAAGGTATCACTTGCTAGTTGCTCACTTAAAGGCCAGCTGTTTCAGTACATATCTGTATGGGTTACTGAATAGTCCAGCCATGTCATTTGCTCCATCCATGGTCTTTTCTGACCAGAGAAAAGTCAAACCTTATGGAGACAGCTCATCCCATCAGAACAAAATGGTACGAATGCTAATCAGAGAATTATCATAAAAGAAAAAAACCCTCACAGAGTGAGGCAGAGCCAGTGCCTCCCTGCTCTGATAGAAGCAGTGACAACCTTTCGAGTTCGGTCTTTGTCAGGACTTGCTCTCTCTCCCTTGATGGAGAGCTGATAGGGGGAGACCAGACAGAAAACTTGCCTTCCATAGCAGGGCTCAGGCACTCACTCATCATGCAAATTAGGAAGAGTTGTTCCAACAAGAAGCCATAGAGAATTCAAGGTTGTTAGAACCGACATTTCTGGTTATGCCCAGTATGTTTTTAATACTTGAAATTAGTTGACCTTCTGCAGTATTAGCCTCTAATTCTAACGTCTGTCTTCTGGCATAAAGGGAAATTACTAATTAGGAGCAAAATAAGCCTGAGTCCCTACAAAATCAGAATTGTGACATGCAGTGTTATTTTTCTCAAGCTGGGTTAACTAGTGTCGAGAGTCCTTGGTTTATTGCACACACTTATTTGTAATTGCTACGTTAAAATGTTACACTAAACGGTGTAGCTTTTCCAGATAGATCCTTTTCTATAACAATCACCACCATCCTGAAACTAGGGTACATGATTTCCCCCAAAATGTGCATGCCACCTGTGTGGCAGCATCCCGCCCTGCAGCAGCCATTTCTCACCCCGGCCTGAAATCCTGTTAGTGCTCACAGTCAGGCCCTTGGGTCGGCAAGCAGAGGTGAGAAGCTTGCCCTCCAGGGAGCCCTGCGAGGTGAAGTGTCGGGTGAGCTCCAGGGTCCTGCCAGTCTGTTCCATATTCCAGCAGGTGAGACCTGAGGGATCATTTACTTCCAAGACCCCCTCTTCATGAGAGCGGTAGGGCCCAGGAAGTGAGTAATGGTGACCTAGTTTGGGAGCAGGCCCACTGGGTTGGAAGCTAGGCAGTAGAACTTCTTGTGGGGTTTGTTAGTTCCGGTGGTGGCTGGGAGAGATGCAGTGCGCTGGAGAAACGTTCGTGGTGAGCTATGGGTGGGAAAGGCGCTGAGCCAGGCTTCCCTGGAGGAAGGCTCTGACTCGGCTGTGTCCTATCCTCCTCTAGGACCTAAAGATCGACCAGAAGACACCTTTACGTGTTCTTCACCGAAGGCCCCTGGCTGTGAGAACGCGGGTCATTCACTCCATGGAGACTCTCTTCGTGGATGAGCACCATTTTCGCCTCTGCCTGAAGACCCAAGCTGGAACGTATCCTTCCACACTGTGCTGCAGTCATCTAACCAGAATCATGTTGGGAGAGTTAATGCTGCTTCTCAAAATAGGTTCGGCTTGGTCTGGGAGATCGTAGAGGGAGAATTATATAGACAGGAACCCAGTACTTACTTTAAAGTATTTTTTTCCATTAAATTTGTGTTTTTTGGCCGGGCATGGTGGTGCACACCTGTAATTCCAGCACTCAGGAGGCTGAGGCAGGAGGATCGCCGTGAGTTCAAGGCCAGTTTGGTCTACAGAGTGAGTTCAAGACCAACCTGAACTGCATACTGAGATTCTGTCTCAAAAGAAAAAAGAAATGAATTTGTGTTTTTCAAAATGACTTTTTAAACCATGAGAGCAGCAGTCAGGTCGGTGTCAACTTTAAAGTTATTTATGTTTCAATTAAAGTTTCTTACATATTATTTAGCACATGGTAAGTACTCAGAAAATATTTTTGATTGTCATATATTCATTCATGAACATATTTAGGTCCTTTCAGGCATTTGCCCCACATTAGACACAGGTGATAGAAGGGAATTGCACTGTTTAAAAAAATTTTTTTTTGTTGAGACAGGTTCTCCCTATATTGTCCAGGCTGATTGTGAACTCCTGGACTCAAGTGATCCTCTCGGCTCAGCCTTCCAAGTGCTGGCACTGCAGATGCGTGCCACTGTGCCCAGCGCTGCTGTGCATACTGATATTCTTTCTTTACATGCCTTGTGAAGAAACAAACAAAAAAGGCACTTGAGATTATATATTATTTATTTAAGTCATATAAACTTGGTTGACAGTAATATTAGCCGGCATTTGTACCATTTTCAAAGACTACAAAGAGACCTGTGTAAAAAAGCGTTGTACATAGATAAGGCTGATATCATGGTTTAAACACCCATAGTCCGAAGTTGACTTGTGTGGCTTTATATCACGAGTTACTGATTAAACGTATCAGGGAGATCTTGTCGTCCTAACCTTCGTTATTATACTTGAATCAAAACATTTCTTGAAGGTAGAGTGAATAAACTTCCAGAAAGTGGGAACATAATATCAGTACATTATAGTCTTGCTGTCAGTTATCTAAGTTTTATTTTTCCTATTCAAGTTCTATTAAATATTTTATACTGAATGCTGGCTTTTAACACAGTGCAATGGTAGGTTTTTCCTGAATGCTAACGAAAGTGTGTATTTTTCAAATAAATATTGTCACAGCTAAATACAGTCTTGTGTAAGGAAAGTTAGTCATTGCCTTCAAAATTTAAAGAGCTCTGAGGGAAATACAAAGTCACTCCTTTGAAAAGAACTCAACCCTGGCGTGGTGGTACATGCCTGTAATCCCAGCATTTGAGAGCTGAGACAGGAGGGTCTCTGTCAGTTCAAGGCCAGCCTGAATTACAGAGTGAGACCCTGTCTCAATCAGTCAATCAATCAATCAATCAATCAACAAACAACTCAGTTTTTCCCTAGTTATATTAGCAAACTATTTTGGGTGAGTGTGATGTAAAGACGAACTTACACAGTGATACCTTGGTTCATGAACTTAATTCTTTCCAAATTGCTTGGTTGCAACCAGAATCATGGAACAAATCCTGTGACCAGAATCATGGAAAGAATTAGTTTGTGAGCTGAGATACCACCGTATTGGCTTTACCAGCAGGAACCAGTCCGTCACAGGTTATTTTCTCAGGCACACATCTCTCAAATCAGAACTCAGAAATAACCTGTCTGCTTTTATTTATGATTTCCCTTTCACCTGTTCAATCTCGCCAAACAGTGTTGCATGGGCACCCGTTTTTTTCCTTAAACAGATTCCAGCTACATTAAAGAGTTTGTACATGGAGACTTCGGGAGAACGAAGCCAAACATTGGCTCTCTGATGAATGTGACTGCGGACATTCTTGAGCTAGATGTGGAGGTAAATCACTTTCCAAAGGCATGCCCTTCGGCATTATACCAAATAGCACCACCCACTTGTACAGGTACATATTAAAAAATGGTTGAAATCTCAGAGTAGTATTGTATTATAGACAGGGAGCATCTTCTGAATATTGGTTTTTAAAATGCACAAGATCTTATTTATGATTCTTGTGAATCTATATAGCTACTTTACTAGCTGTGCTTTATATACGGCATCAGATTAAACCCTTAAAACAAACAGATGAACAAATAAAATTGTAAGTGTCCTGCACATGTACTTTGAGATGCTAGGGGCTCGTTCCCATATCTGCTTGGAAACATATTCAGGACAAGGGTAGAAGTGGAATGAGCTAATGGTTATTGACAAAAGCATTGCTCTAAGGAACTCTTAGGATGTGGCCCAAAGGTGGTTTTGTAAGGGGCTCCTCTGATGTGGTTCTCTACTCACAGTCTGAACTGAAAAAGGTTAAAAGCCAATTAGATGAATTGATCTTTCGGGCAATTCTCTTTTTCCATTTGGGCGTCAATAGATGTTGAGTCCCTTTTTATGCGCCTTGATGAAAATCTGCTTAGGAGTAGAGTCCTTCTGTACCCTTCACACACGTCAAAATCTTGGGAGAGGCTAGCATTTTGCACTAGGGAATAATAGCAAATAAAAAGAAGTATTGCCCAGTGTGAAAACAGCCATGGTTCATATTCTTACCGTACCAGAAATGCTCTCACGTGCTGTCAGGTTAGATTTTACATGCTCTTGCGGTGCAGCCAGTGACACCCTTCAAGGCCCCAGGCCCCAGGCCTCCAGCTGCATTCATCTTTCTGGACCCTGACATTTACAGATAGCTTAGGAATGTCAGAGTCACAGTCGGGACTTTTCAGGCCTGATCAACCATGGCGCTTTGTGAACACTACAGCATGCCTCCTCGTCCCTCAGCACACCCAGCTGTGATCAGTAACGTTTAATTCTTCAGTTTGAGAAACCATTCTTTACTTTGTATGGGTGTTTCGTATATGGCTACATACTGAAACACTACCAAAATATCTTCTTGAGATTTATAACATACACGCACATACATATGTACCACCACCACCACCAAAGTTATTTGGGCTTTTTCAATAATTTTTCTGAATCTGGAACTTTCAGTAAATTATTTCAGGTTTTAAACTTTAAATGTCAAGAAAACCATGGATACAGTGGATGTTTTTTAAGCTCTTAACATAGGTAGGGGCTGTTTTCCCTAGTTAGGACAAGATGTGTTTTGATGCTTCTAGAATGTGTAGTTTGTGTAGGGACAAAATAGTCTTTCTGCAGTTTCCAGGTTTTGTTCTAGAAGAGCACAATGGAAGTGAGTAGAGCTAGAGAGCTGAATTTTAAGTGGAACAGTAAACGTTCTGGTGTAGTGAAACAAAAACATCCTGAATCCTCTAGTTCCAGGTGCTCTTTTGGTTCACATTTAGTTGCTAAGTTACAAACAAGTCTCTGGCTGATAGACTATGGAGTAATGTGCCGTGTAATGGTGTTCGAACCAATGGGGGCAGCACATACACTGTAGGTTGTGTCGCCCAGTGACATCACAGCTGCCTTAGTGAGTCTGTGTACTCCGTGGTGTTTGCACAATGATGAAATGACCTAGTGATGCATTTTCTAAGATTGTGTCTCAGCTGTTAAGTGACATCTTACTGTTAAATGTAAGATGGCAGTATGATCAGAAGAATAAAAACTGCTGAGGCCTCAGGGGAAAACTCGTATAGCTACCTGAATTTGAATGTTTGTTACTTTACCTATAACTAAAATTTTTAAAATGTAAGTTTACTGTATTCCGAGTCAAAGGAGCAGTTAATCCAGTAACCCAGTATTGCTACCCAGTTAACTCAAAGACAGACTTTGGGCCCAAGCGTACCTACGGTGGACTTTACAGGGTTAAAATTGTGGTATTCAATAGCTCTTTTCTTCAAATGTAATTTCTTCTGTTGCTTTATAAACTACTACCAGCAAATGCTTACAGAACAGCAGCATGTTTTAATGACGTGTTTTCTCCCTTCTAGTCTGTAGATGTTGACTGGCCACCTGCTCTGGACAACTAGCTTTGAGCCTGGAGATGGAGTAGGGTCTTCCTAGCATGATGTGGACATCCATGCAGCAGAGCTGTAAAATGGCTGTTTACCCACCATGACGGTGTCGTAGAAACCATTTGGATCATGTTGATCTATTTTTAAAATTTGCTGTAACATCTCAGGCCCTGTCTATCTGTATGTGTGTATTTGTGTTGAAGTGCTCCAAGCACGTCTGTGACTGTTCTCATTCCCACTGTCACCTCCACACACAAAACTATGAACAGCGAAACCATTCTCCCCCTTAGTTTTTTGTAGAGAGGCGCATAAACAGGAGACATTTTCTGTGAAGTTTCAGCATGATTTCTCTTCACATGAGACATACCACCTTTAAATTCATATTCTAAATTTTCAAAATTATTTGAATAAAAGTTGTAACTGTAATATTCTGAACATCCTATAACAGCTTAAGATAGCAAATGCAAATCTGACATTATTAGTATTCTTCCTGGTAAGCGTCAAGTGAACTGTTACCAATGAAAGTACATGTGGCTGTGATTTATCACAGATCATTATGACTTCAAGTTACAGTCTAAAATCGCCAGTACATTTCTCGAGGAGGGAAAGTGAAACTTTAGAAATTGAGGCATGTTATGGTAAGAGACTTTCACAGATATTTTAAATAAGGAAAAACAAGTGCCTTCAACAACTTCACTCCCAGGTTAAGAATTTGAAAAACTGGGGGGCTGGGGATTTAGCTCAGCGGCAAAAAGCGCCTGCCTGGCAAGCGCAAGGTCGTGAGTTCGGTTCCCGGTACCGGAGAAAAACCAAAAAAAAAAAAAAAAGAATTTGAAAAACTGTAGGGCCGGGCATGGTGGTGTGCCCCTGTAATCCCAGCATTTGGGAGGCTGAGGCAGGAGAATCACCGCACGTTTGAGGCCAGCCTGGGCTACATAGTGTGTTCAAAGGTAGTCTAAACTATATAGTGAGACCCTGTCTGAAAAAAATTCATATTTAATTTCCATTACATAATTCAACTATACGAGCTTTTTAAATACATGTGTGACTTGATAGTATTATATTACTCAGTCTCATCTCTACCTTAAACATAGTCATTGATACAAAGATTCACTTTAGATATCAGGAAAATGGTTTTAACTGACATGAAAAAAAGTCATCCTACCTTGAAACTGTTTATCATATGTGAATAAATTTTTTTGCTGTTTTCAATATCAGAAAATGAGAAAGGGATAACAAATAAATTTTGATAAAAAACATAAGAACTTCTGTGTGGGTGTTTCTGTTTCTGGGAAAATTTTGCTACAAAAGAGATTAAAGTATTTAGGGTAAGTCAGTGCTGAATGGCCTGGACCTGTAATACGGAATCATCAGGAACTTTCTCAGCAAACTTAGATTAGAACACTTGTATTTCCTAAGTTATGCAGAATTTCAAGCAAAGAGTAAACAGCTGTAAGTACTTATTCCAAATGTTCATGTAATTTTGAGACACAAATTGTTAAAATTAGTACTTTGTGTAGCTAGAACTAGGAACACTGTAATGAGTACTATAGTTTCTTGTTTGCCTATATAAAACTATTTTAAAGTTAGTTTTATGATTTCCTTCTTTAAGCTTTGTTTAGTCTTTTTAGTAAGATTTAGAGAAAAAGTTCTTTATTCTTCCTAATACTTTAGGAAAAACATCAACTGTGAATATTTAGAAAAGTTAAAAAGAAACAGAATTGATAAAGTGAAAAATTCCCAAGGTGAACTGGCTACATTTGCAGGTGCAATGAAGTAGATTTAGAAGTCACCTTTCCATTAAAAAAAAAAAAAAAATCTTAGCAGCTCTTTTCTTTTGGAGCATTATTCTTTGATTTTTAAGTCCACATGCAAAAATGAACACTGATGTAAGCTTTTCTGAATTTTAAAAAGTATCTTTTTTATTATAAAAAGTATCATTTATGAAATAATTCCAGCCAGGTATGGTGGTGCACACCTGTAATCCCAGTACTTGGGAGGCTGAGGCAGGAGGATCACTGCAAGTTTGAGGCCAGCCTGGGCTATAAAGTGAATACAAGGCTAGCCTGAACCTTGTTTCAAAAAGATGAAAAACCAAAAATAGAAATAATTCTAAGCTTACAGAAAAGTCCAAGAGTTTTTTCCCCTGAACCATAGAATCAGTGGTGCCTCAATATCTCAAATATATCAGTGTGTGATTCCTAGACATTCTTCTACTTAACCACAACTAACAAAATTAAGAAGTTAACACTGATGCGTTACTGTTGCCTAATCCACAGATCCCTCTCAAGGGGCTGCCATTGATCACAACAGTGTTCCCGATAATCAGTGATCACACTTTGAATTTAGTGGTTACGTCTTTCCTGTCTCCACCAACCTGTATAGCTTTCCATATATGTAGATACAGAAACCGAGGTGTCTGGTGTGTATGTGTGTGCACATGTGCATGTGTGTTCACGCTGGTTCTCTATGAGAGGGCTTGGGAATGACAGCAGCATAATAGCAGTAAGCACACTTAGTGCCCAGATCTTGGTTTTTACATACCATTTTCCACTAAAAGGAATCAGGTCTTCTTAGAGAGACAGTCCCATTCCAGGGCTGCTGCAGAGGAAATACAAAGAGAAGCACGGGGTGTCTTTCTACGAGATAGGAGGAACATGCTCAGAGGATGATGGGGCGATGTCAAAAGGACCAGGAAGCCATATGGAAAGGGTACTCACCACCCAAATCAGTACCCAGAAATCAAGATAATGTTAGTAACAAGTTATAACCCACTGAATAAAATGAGAAGTGATGAGCTGAAGATGTAGCTCCGTGACACATCGCATGCTTAGTATGTACGGGGTTGTAGGTTCAATCCCCAGCACTGCCCCCAAAGGAAAGCACAAGCCCACAGTAATATAAATAAATGAATAAATGAGAGCTAAAGAAAAGCTCTACCTTTCAGTGGAATGTCCACCAATAAATGTTTAAAACGTGGTGGAATTTTAAAAACAGTATTGGCAATCATTATGGTAAAAATGAATTCTGGTGAAAAATCTTAAATGGATGCTAAGTTAATGAGTGAAAATTTTGTTATCTCTCTACCAGATACTAATTACAAAGGGAAAAAAGGGTAACTATAAAGTGAAGCAGTTTAGTAAAAATACCTTAATCAAGTGACTAAGCCCAACTGGACAACTAGAATTGTATGCCACCTGGTAAGATGCAAGCACAGAAAATCTCTTCTGTGGTATTCTTCCCCAAAAGGTACGTGTAAATTTAATAACAAGAAAATATCAGGCAACCCAAAATGAGGAAGTAACCTACAAAATAACTGGCCTGAAATCTTTAAAAATGTTAAACAAACAGTGAAGGGCTTGGGAAAAAAATACTCAATATCACTAAGCATCAAGGAAATCCAAATTAAAATCACAAAATATTGTATACCTGTTACAATGGCTATTATCAAAAAGAAATTAAGTGTTGGCAAGGATGTGCTGTAAAGGGAAGCTTCCCACACTGTTGGTGAGAATAGTAGTTAATATAGCCATTATGAAAAATAGCAATGGGGTTTCCTCAAATACTGAGCCTGGTATAGTGATACACACCTGTAACCCCAGCTCTCTGGGAAACTGAGGCATGAGGATTGCAAATTTGAGCCCGGCCTGGGCAACAACTTAGTGAAACTGAGACCCTGTCTCACAAAAAAAAAAAAAAAAAATAAAGGGTTGGAGTGTAGCTCAGCACAAAGGCCCTGGGTTCAGTCCCCCGGGTTGAGGAGAAGTACCACTTGCTCCAGCAATCCCATTATTGGGTATACATCCCAAGGAAATTAAATTAATATACTGCAGAGATCTATGCACTGCCATACTCATTACAGCACTATTCAATAGCCAAGATAAAGAATCAACCTAAGTGTTTATCAATGGACAAGTGGATAAAGAAAATGTGGTACACATATACAAGTGGAACAGTATTCAGCCATTCAAAAGAGAAGCTCTGTCTTGTCTAACATGGATGAACCTAGAGGACATTAAGTGAAATAGCTCAGGCACAGAAAGACAAATACCACATACTCTCTCTGATGCTTGGAATCTAAAACACTTAAGTCATAGAACTAGTGAATGGTGGCCATCTGGGCTGTGTGGATGGGTGATCAGAAGAGATGCAGAGACGCTGCTTGAAGGACACAAATTTCATGTCACTTAAAATACATCTACATATGGGGAGAGAAAAGGACTTGGCCCCAACCCCTCCCCTGCTGTCTCTGGCCCTTCCTCCCCCTCTCCCTCCAGGTGGGGCGCACACGGCAGCCATCTGCAAGCCCTAAAGACAGCCCTCACTCAGCGACACCAGCACCCCAGGACTTACACCTCCAAGACTACGGAAATACGTTTCTGTTGTATAGAAAGAAAGAGAGTGACAAAGAAAAGAGAAAATCTTTCAAAAAGGCACTAATACTCTGAAAATACTCATTTCCAGCAGTCACAATGCAAGAGCATCCAGCCATAGCCTTCCATAAACATATGTAATGTCTTAGAAACCAAAACTACCTTTTGTTTAAAAAAAATACAACAAATATTAAGAAAATCAGATTAATTTTTAAAAGTCAAATTGCAACAAAACTTAGCAAGTGTTTTGGAATTTTTTACATTTATTACATTACCGAGAAAAAAATACTGTATACAAAGATATTACAAAGGTAATAAAACATTCTGTACAATAAAAGCTATTTCAACATTTTCAGAACTATTGCATACTGATACAAAGCTTAACTTTAAATAATTTAACAATGTTTGAGAACTTTTAAAAATCATTTTCACCAATACCTTTCAATGAATTTCCAGTCATTATGAAGCATACAGAAACCAGATTTTCTATTCTGTTGGCCTCCATATTCGCTGTCGCCAACAGTATTCTTTTATTTCCAACCCTGGGGACTGAACAGGCCCCGTGCACTGAGCCACAGCTGCACCCTCTTTCTTTTTTGGACAGAATTTTGCTAAGCTGCTATTTTCCTTCCTCAACTTCCTAGCGTGCTGGGACCACCGCTGTACAGCACCACACTCAACCTAAAGGGAGTGGTTACTTTAAAAAATACATTGCTACTTTGTCAAAAGGGAACATGAGTGGTTTTTTGCATGCGTGAAAAAATGTACAGGTATAATTGCTTTTGAGATTTGATCTTTTCCACTGTTAAACGTATGCTTTAAATCTATGATACAGTAGTTAAAATACTCACTTGACTGAGTCTAAGAAGACACAAGCAAACCATTATTTCTATCTGATTACCTATTGCTGGACTGATTAGTAGCATGAAATTTTCTATATATGTGACATGGAAAAGAATTATTTCCCTCTTTCATATCCAACTTCAGAAAAAAAATCAGAAACCTTTCTGTGGAAATGTCATTAGAATCAAAGTCCCCCCAACTCACAATCAACTCCTGCACAGAGATGAGGGGTCACAGAATTTCAAAAGTGAATTCAGTCACTGGCATTATCTTCAGCAGGAATCATTCTGCAAAGAACAAGGCCAAGAGAAGGTTCTCCAGGTCCGGGCAACAGCCAGTCTCTTGAAAAAGAAACCCACTTTAGGGCTCTTACTAAAGCATTTAATTCTCACTGATTTTTCTCTGCTGGGTATTAGATATCCAGGGGTGTGTGAATTAGAGATTAATCAGAGTGAAGTGACCTATTAATTATATTCTAAACTGCGCAATTTACAGTGTTTCTTTTTAGGCATTATTCAGTACAAAACGTACTTCATGAGGTAGGAAGGGAGGGTATGGTCTGACTAAAAACAGTCCCCACCGTCTGTTCCTCCACGCTGTTTAACAGCACGTGGCAATCTTTCAATAAATCAATTTATGATAAAAAATTGTATGGTGTTACTAGGCAACCTGGATTACCAAGTCTAAGTCTCGATGTGGACAATAACATTAATTTTCCTGAAGGATTAGGTTAAAAATAGACAACTATGTCTCTACATAATGATCATGAGTAGACAGGCCCAATTACCAATTTAAAAGGCTATTGTGAGATAACAAGTTCTGATGGGAGAAATCACAATAGTGGTTTAGAGGTTGGGCAACGGTCTGAAGGAAATGTCTAGGATGATTATTACATGCATGTTTACATACACAAAAATTCTTCAAGCTCGATCCTTCAAGTTGGTCTACTTTACATGTTATCCCTCAAAAGAAAGGAAGTCTTTGAGAGCAAGAGTTTAATCTCATTCACTTGTACCATTTCCTGCTTTGCACATTAGGCATTCAAAAAACGTGATACCTGACTTATACAAATACTGCAGCATCTGTACAGAGATTAGGCATCAAGAAAGCACATGAGGGATCCTTGAGACTGAACGTGCTACATACAGAAGAGAGAGCTATTAGGTCACAGGTATGAAATAATCCTACTATCTAGAATTTCTACCTAGAACAAATGGCATTACTGTTTTCAACAGAGCTACTTTCAATCTAAAAGGGGGGCTGCAGTGTTTTTAAAAAGGAAGTGAGGGTAGCAGGTCCAGGTAGAGAAGTGTATTTCGTAAGACAGGGAATTCTGACATTGCTGCTTTTCTTGCAAAGGTGTGCGTACCTTTTCTTTTAAAAATCCTATCTTTATGTGTAAACATCATATTCTCTCCCTTGTCTGAGAAGCAGAAAGAGTAAATAAGATTCAAATGTACAATAGATATTGTGAAGTGGGAAGAAACTGTTCAAAAGGAAAGAGAAAATAGGGGCTGGGGATTTAGCTCAGTGGCAAAGCACTTGCCTGGCAAGCGCAAGGTCGTGAGTTCGGTTCCTGGTACCGGAGAAAAACCAAAAAAACAAAACCAACAAAAGGAAAGAGAAAATGGGATGGGGGCAAGGAGAAAAGGGAAGAGCAAACGCGCACACACGATAGTTACATTAATTTCTCTTAGTTCACTGAAAAGAAAGGTTTGTGTTAATATCGTTTGGACAATTAAATGCCGATATCTTGTACTTTGAGTAATTAATTTAAAGATAACAATGTGCAATGTATTAACTATTGTTACTCTATTATCTTGTGTTGAAATTTTTTTAAAATTTAAAAAAAACAAAAACCAAAATACCACACCCTTGCCCAGTGTTGCACTCACTTCTGTGTCGGTTTCACCCTTGCTGCTCTGACAGCAGCTACCGTTTACTCAGCACCAACTATGCCAGGGACTGTGGAAGTGCCAGATCCCAGAGGAATGAGACAATAATTAATGGACTATAACTTCACGGGCACAGGCACAAGTGCACCTCAACTAGAGGTACAGGACTAAGCCTCACAGAAAAGCTTGGTCCTTTTTAGAGGCAGGGTCTCGCTATGTAGCCCAGGCTGGCCTCAAACTTGCAGTGATCCTCCTGCCTCAGCCTCCAGAGTGCTGGGATTACATGTATGTGCCACCATGTCCAGCTAGAAGCCTGGTTTTAAGGAACAGAATGTTATATAGGTACATGAACTGCTGCTATCCAGCTTGGTACCTACTAGCATATGTGGTTATAAAACCATTTTTTTCAGTGATACTATACATATTTCAAGTGCCCAGTAGCCATGTGGCTCAGGCCGCCATGAATTAGCAAAGGTAAAGAACAATTCCACTGTTAAAAAAAAGTCACTGAGCTTGCCTACGACAGCGTCCAAAAACAGAGCATTTACCTAGAATGTGCGCTCCGCGAGGGGGTCCTGCGTATCACTGTGTCCCCAGCACTTAGAACTAGGCCCAGCATGTAGTTCATGTTCAGTTAGTCTTGCTGAATAAACCGTTAAGTGAAGCGGAAAATAAAAGAACGAGTGTTCCAGTTGCACAAAAGCATGCAGAGCAGGTAACATGTTAAAAGTAGAGGTCCGACAGAAGACGTTAATTTCTAAGGGAGACTGTAGTAAGGAGGTATAAGGAGAATTTATTTTTAAACATAGTTTATTAGTACATGTCTGCAGTACAAAATACCTTCACTGTAGGTGGTTAACACATGCAAATGTACACTTTCATTCTTTTTATGCCCCTTCCATCTCTTAGTTCCCTTCCCACCTGCAAAAGATCTCTCTCTCCTGTCTGTGGCCCACCTTTTGTGTGTGCATGCATGCGCAGGGGGAAGGGAGGGAGGCGGAGGACACAGAGACTGGGGAATTGAACCCAGGGCCTTCATACGAACTACATCCCCACCCCATTTATTTATTCATTATATTTATTTATTTTTGAGATAGGGTCTTGCCAACCAAGTTGCTCAGGCTGGGCTTGAACTTGCAATCCTCCTGCCTCAGCCTTACAGAGTGCTGGGATTATAGGAATGGGCCACCACAACTGACTTGGGGAATGAGATATTTTTAACTGGAGCATATGGAAGATTCTGTTGGGGGAAATGAAGAAGGCCTTTATTAAGAAAGCAGGAGCAATGAAGAAAGGACCGACACCCAAGGTTTTTAGGAGGCAGACTCACAAAGACTAAGCATTAGTGTGAAGATGATAAAAGAATAAAATATAAATTGAGGTGTCTGTTAAATATCTCAGGTGGCAAATGCCAATGCCATTAAGAGAAGAGTAAATGATAAAGCCATTAGCAAAGTGAAGAATGCGACAGGAGAAGCCACTCTACATAGGCATTCTGGCAGCAGGAGAGAAAGACGAGGCTATGGATGCTGCGATACTGCACTGGAGAGAAAATAAGCACCACTGCCTAGGACGAATGTTTTCATTATGTATATCTAAAATGTACCAATAAAATACAAAGTTTAAAAAAAGAAAAAAGCACCAACTGAAGGCTGTATTGGGTTTTAGAGGAAAAACTGGGCTCAGAGAAGCATCTTATTCAGAAGTGCTAGAGCTCAACAGGCAGGAAGTGGTTCCACAGGACAAACAGTAACAGCTGATAAAAAGACACAGGACTGATGTGTGTGTGTGTGTTCGTTCACACGTGCCAGGTCTCATAGGACAAACAGTAACAGCTGATAAAAAGACATAGGACTGTGTGCGTGTGTGTGTGTGTGTGTTCACATGTGCCAGGTCTCATACGGAACCTGCAGGAGCACAGACAGTGACCCGCTGAGAGGGGAGGAAACAGGCTGTGAGCACTTTAGAAGTCCGAATGTGAAGGGCAGGAGCACAAGGGTGGTGGGAATTGTTACTGTTTGGTTTTCATTTTGCTGCTGGTCTTTCTTTTTGGGCTGAAGACACCTACTAAACTAAATGGCACGACCAGGACACAGTAAGCACAGGGTGGGGTATAAAGAAGGGCTCTATTGCACCTTGCAGTTTAGAAAGAAAAGACACCATGTCCTCAAAACAGGAGGTGAAAGTAACAGGAGAAATACACAGCCAAATGCATTTTAAATTATAAAATAAATTCTATGAAAAAAATAAATTCTATGTTCAGTAAATAGAAACTGAAAAATGAAGACTATTAGAAACGCTGTAAGCAAGACACAGCAGACCCTGAATTCACCTTACAGAGGAAAAACCGCAAAACAAGCCTATGCTTACTTAAAGTCCACTGCGCTAGTCTGACAGTGTTTAAACTGATTAGTGCTAATTCACATGAAATTATTATTATTCTTTTCTTTTTGAGACAGGGTTTCACTATGCATGTCAGGCTAGGCTTGAACTCATTTTGCAGCCCAGGCTGGCTTCAAACTCGCAGCAATCCTCCTGCCTCAGCCTTCCAAGTGCTGACATTATAGGCGTGCACCACCATGCCTGGCTTCATGTGAAATTGTTAAGATTATGTATTTTTAAAATAACATGCCACCTACCAATCATCATCTGGAGATATGACAGGTTCATACCCTGAACAGGAAAGAAATACCTTATGGTATTTTTCCCTTCCTTGGTAAGTTCTACTAAAACTATATTAATATACCTGTGATTTTTCAATTTTACATGACAAGCATATTTGTGAAATCGTAATTTGAAAAATATCCTAATAGGAGGTTTTAATCTTTTTATTTTGCTTTCTAGACTACCCTAACCTCACGTCTTTTCTTGCTCTCCTTCCTATTTCCCAGTATCATTCCATTAGGAACTTTTATTTAGAGGGTACTCACATATACCCCATTTTGACTGAATGATTTGTGTATATTAATGACTTGGGTGGGCTCTGTGTAAGTGAAATGACCATTAGTCAGGGGCACGTCTCTGGTCAAGGGTATATTTAACATCTAGGGTAGGTTATGAATGGTTCAGGTGGATTCTTTTTTGGGGGTGGACTTTGTATAAGTGAAATAACACATATCTAGCTAAGGATATGTTCGTATTTCTGGCTGAGGATATGTTAACATCTAGGGTAGATTCTAATGTAAGATCAACAAGATCTCTGATATGTTACTTAGCATCATCATACCCTCACAATTAAATTACTGTCAAATTCTACTATCATTTCCCTACAGTTATTTTGCATTCAAACAATTTGCATTACCATTAATACTAGACTTGAACTTAAATGATAATAACAAAAACCTTATGTCAAATGAAAGATAATATAAAAACCTTAAGTATCTAATAAAGCTATTCTTGCAAAAAACAAAGTTCTATTAGTGACACTTTGAATGTTTAATAAATATTTATGGAATGCTTAATGTGAGGCACTGTTAACTGTTCTATAACCTGGAGGCACTGTTAACTGTTCTATAAACTGGAGATTTGATATTAAATAAGACACAAGAATTTCTGCCATCATGGAGCTTATATTTCAGTAAAAGATACACATAATAAATGCCTAGTCAAATCAGACACGCTAAGTGCTACACACATACAGACAGCAGGAGGAACAGCAATGGTGAAATTTAGTCAAGGCAGGCCTTGATCCATGTGACAGTTAAGTCTGCTAACTTGACTGATTTGAGAACCACTGAAGAGACTAGTAAAGCACAACTCTAGTGTGTCTGGGTGGATCAAGGGGGTATGACCCTAAGGACTATACCTAGTCGCCGGCCCCTTTCTCACTGGTGCTTTTTCCTGGCGCTGTGCTTTCCAGTTGCCATGAACTAAGCAACTTTGCCTGACTACGCCCTTCTGCCATGCTGTTCCTGTCCTGGAGCCAGCTGACCACGAACAGAATCCTCTGAAACCGTGAGCCAGATAAACCCCTCCTTCTCAAGTTGTAGATATCAAGATTTTTGCCCAGCAATAGAAATGTGATAATGTAGAATATTAGTAGTTCAGAAATAGGGTTATTGCTGTGACTGTATCTGATTCTGTGCTTCAGAAGCCTTTTAAATTGTGGATGAGTTTGGAAAGATTTGAGGATGCAAGTTAGAGAAGTACTGGAGTACTTGAAAAAAAGCTCGATGGGTAATTCTAGTCAGAGCTCAGAAGACCAGAATGCTAATAGGAATGTAGACAGTTAAGACTGTGCTCATGAGGTTTCAGACAGGAACAAGGACTAATGGAACTCAAGGTCACACATACTCTGGCAAAAAAAAAAAAAAAATGTCTATAGTTTGTTCATATCCTGAGAAAGCTGAGTTTGTGGATAGTAAAGTAATTAATACGGCAGAGGAAAGTTCAAGGTACCACAATGTTTAGGCAGTGGCATAAGTACTGCTGATTACTTTTTTGTCAGACATATATGTAAAAACTGGAAGCAAAAAGCAGAGCTGAAATATCTGAAAAGCTTTGCTCTGAAAAGAACCATGTATAAAGTTTGGGCCAAGGGTGGTATGGTTCCTGAAGAGATTAGTACAATTAAAAAGAAATCAAGTACTTTGAACTGGGACAAGAAGAAATATGCCCTGAGGGCATGTCAGGAATTAGCAAGACCCTACCTGTCCCAGGCTCAAAGGTATAAAAGTGTAAACTTTTCACTTAAGATCGATTCTTTCCAGTGAGTTGGACATGGGAGATAGAAGAATCAAGGATGATGCCAAGATTTTTGGCCTGAGCAATAAGCATGGCATTGCCATTTACTGAGTTGGAGAAGACTGAAGGAGAAGCAAGTCTGGGAGGAAAGACCAAGAACTTAGGTTTGGATATATTGAATCTGAGCTTTAACTAGATTTCTAGATGTCAAACAGGCAGTTGTATGAGACTACAGAGAGTGAGAATACCTAAGAAAGAAAAGAGGTGCAAAGAAGCTTCTTCCTCTTGAAAATATGGGCGCAAAGCTAAAAATCATAAGCAACTTTACAGATACAGGTTTAAATATTATAAAATGGGAGGAATCCTCCCATACCTTGAAAGCTCACTTCAACTGCCTTCTGCACAACTTAAATTTTAAAGAAGTTTTGATTTACATATAAATCTAAGAAATTCCAAGAAGCCTTAGAAAACCCCGTAGGGGTACACAGGCCTCAAAAAAAAAAAGTAATTTATTTTTCCAATGGCATAGCCATTACAAGTTTTCCCTTAAATTTGCATGAAAGCAAATATCAGTTAATTCACTTAATAATACATTAATATGTTATAAGAGAAATACAAAATTAGAAAAAACTCTCCATGGTTTAATGTCCTCCTTAGAGTCTTTCCTGGAGAAATGCAATAAAATTCTGAGGATAGAATTCACACCACACACACTATCGGATCAGATCTTTCAAAAGAAGAAACCGAAAAAGGACACTTTTCTTTCTTTTTTTGTGTTTGTTTTGTGTTTTGTCCTGTTTTGTGTAAGCCCAGCCTAGCCTTGAACTCATGATGCTCTTCTCCCTCAGCCTCCTGAGTGCAAAGGTTAAAGGTGTGTACCAGCACTTTTAGCTTTAATTTTCTTTTTATAACAACTTTCAAGGTTTGATTTCTATATACATCCAAAGCTTGTATACTATATACATCTAAAGTTTTATACTTCTGTGAAAAAGAAGTTTCAAAAACAAAAACGGCTTTGTATTGTACTTTTGGTAAGACAAATGTGAGATGGTATGTCTGTGTTGCTACTACCAAAATGATCACAAGCATTTTAAAAGATTCGAGTCTTACAAACTATACTTAAAAAAATTCATATGCAAAGGATTCGCTCAACTGCTCATTCTGCATATTACCAATATTTGAATACTGACTATTTTGAAAACTATGGTTGTTTGTATTAGTACCATTTGATGGTCCCGGATCATTTATCAGGCCATTATCTGCACAACTGAAGTCAGGTCGCTCAAATGCATCTGACTGTGACACAAAAACTGCAGTATTAGAACTGGTACCTGCTGACATACTGGAAGAAGACATCTGTTGGAGCTGTCTTAAGTCTCTTGGATCTAACACTGAATTACAGGAGTGGTTTTCAAGATTCATGCTCACAAGTCTGGAGTTATCTGTCTCCCCCATGCTGTCACTGCTGGCTGTCATCATATTAGGCAGCATGGTGGCATCAGAAATACCATATAAGTCAGCTGGTGACATGGAGGTGGTTTCCATCCTGCCTAGGTCATCAGTACTGTTATAAATGCAAGCATTAGAAGCATTTAAATCACTCCCAACAGACATTGCCAGGAATGATGAGATGCTTTGTGAATTAGACGAAAGCGATCCTGTTGAAAAACTATTCAATGGATTCGTACTGACAGAGCGTGAGGTGGAATGGGACACTGATGACCAGCTTGAAGGATGCTGAGAGACCATTGAGGACATGGCTGAGGCGGGATGTGACAGTCCACTTGAGATGGACACTGGTGAGTGATAGTAGGGCTCTGCTTGGCTTGAAATCCCTGAAGGCCTGGGCATTTCTGGAATAACTGGACCATGAGGAAACAAGTTTGATTCTGTGGGAAGAAAAATGTATTTTATAAATTTAAAATGAACAAAATGATACAAAACATTATTTCTAAATTAAAACTGCAAAAACATTAATAAAAATTTCAAAGCAATGATGTAACATTGCAAACAAAAATTCTTAAAAATGCATTAAAATTATTACTGAATTCTGTAACTTTTATAAATATTTAAAAATGACTTTTGTAAGACATTTTGTAATATGGAATTTTACTCCAGTTAAATATGAAAATCTAGCTTTTGAGCCCCTGTACATGTATTTTTAAAAAGTGAAAGATAAATATCAAAATTTCAATTGACAGACATTAAACAGCCAAAAGCATTTCAACAGCCTTACTTTTTGGAGAAAATAGAAAGATGGGGAAAACATTTATTAGGGATGAATGAAAAATACATGTAACTTTTAAGATATATTAAGCTATGACCCAAAGATACAAAATTTCCAATAAGAAAAAAATTAAGGCCAAATTAATTTTGTATTATTTACATACTACTCAAATGCTACGTATACTAAAGCAGGAAAAAGTGCTGACTGAAGAACTTCACAGGTAGAAAAAAAGACTTCTAATTAACCTTTGGTGGTATGATCTAAACCAGGGTTTGGTAAATTTTTTTTCTATAAAGGGCAAAAGAGTTAAGTATTTTAGACTTTGTGGGCTATACAGCTTCTGCTGGAACTATCTGGGGAAAAAAATAGGGCTGAGGGATAGCTCAGTGCTAAAGCACTTCCTTAGTCCGGTGTGGTGGCACATGCTTACAATTCCAGCACTTGGGAGGCTAGGCCAGGAGGATCATTGTCAACTTTAGGTCAGTAGGCTACATACTAAGTTCAAGGCCAGCCACAGAGTGAGACACTATCTCAAAAAAAAAAAAAAAAAATAAAGCACTTGCCTAGTGTACGAGATTCACTGGGTGTAATCCTCAGCATTGCCAAAAAAATAAAACATAAAAGGGCATCTAGAGACATTATACAACCAAATGAATATGGCTGTGTTCCAATAAAGATTTTGTTTATAAAGACAGGTGACTAGTCAGATCTAATAATTTCTTTCATCACACAATGCAATTAGTGAAATTACCACTGTGTGAATAAAATCTACTTTTTCAAACAATAAATTTCCAAAGATGTCTTTCAACAGTGTCCACAGGTCAAGTTCAATTAAAGCATGACAAAATTTGTAGGAGTGGAAAATATTAAGGAAGGAGTTGTTTCTTCTTAAAAATACAATTCGAATGCACTGTGCAAAGCAATAGATTTTCACATCACAAGGAGTAGTCCACAGGGTATAAATACCTTTTTTGATGAGTCTTCCTTCATGTGATCCTGGGGGGCCAGGTCTTGGTCTCTCTGGAAGATTAACTGCTACAATAAAGATTTTTCCATTAATACATATAATTTGAACAATTTATCACTTAAAAATCTGAGAAACCAAATAAAACAAAGTCTAATTAAATATGAATCAATCTAAAACATTCTTACCACAATCTTGCCAAAGTTTCTGTAAAAGTAGAGTTGTTTTTTGTTTCTTTGATTTATTGCCATAAGCATCTGATTAAAATAGAAACCAAGAAAAAAAAAAAAAAAAAACAAGAAAGCAGGTGAATCATCATGGGATTGTACTTCCTCTCCATTAATACGTAGACACTTTATTTGTATATAGAATATGCTTTGAAGAAATATACATAATATGGATTTAGTAAGTATATTATTATAGAATATGCCCCAGATTTGTTGCAAAGTGTATTTTTCTCTCAATAAAAACACTACAAAACAGTTATCTTGTTTCTTATAACACCTGTAAGTTAATACCAACTAATAAGGACTAAAGCAAGATAAAGACAAGGACTAAAACAAGTTTTCCATCTACAAAAAGGGCATAATAAAGTCAGAAACAAACTCTCAAAAGTAAAACAATTTTGATGAACACTTTAGATACTCTGAAATTATTTCAGCTGAATCAAATGTTACCAACAGAGATGCAAAGAGCATAAAGAAAAAAAAAAACCCCTGAAACTTACAGGAAAAGAAATGTAAATTGTGAATACACATAACTACTTAAATGTATCTTAATAATGTACTAGTAGGATCAACTTTAAGAAATATATAAATCAGTACAACCTCAGTGCTGTGCCATACCTTTCTCATCGGGCAGATACCTAAAATCCATAGATTCACTAACTTCCTGGTCAGAAGGTCTCCGCAGCTGCATTTTTACTGTTACTGGTTCTGTTATGGCTTTACAATATGGAGGAGTCTTAAAGACGATAGCTACTTGACGGTGTACATCAGCTTGTGAAAAGATACCTTTTGCTTCCCAATCATTCAACACAAAACGAACTTCTATGTCATCTAGTAAGTAAGAGGCCAAAGAAATACATAAGACTGGGCAAACGAAGTAACATACATCTATTAATCTAAAATACATTCTATGTTCAATGAAGAAAAAAAGAGTATGTACCTTTCTGAACTTTGTCACAAAGTAAAAATATTTCATCTCCTCCTCTGACACTTCCACAGTTCTTGTTTACTCGACAAATCCTTAATTCTGCAGTATTCGGGGCACCTAAACACAAAGGTTCTTTTTAAAGTGGGTCGCTACCTTAGTAATTCAGTTTAATCTGTTGGCAGAGAGAGTATTTGGGGGAAATCATTTACAAAATAGATAAAAAGTTTTAATGTACACATAAAAGACACTATATAATCATCCACATACGTACATCCCTTTCCTTGCTAATTGCTTTACCAAACCTGGCTTTCAGTCTTATACTTTTATTTCTAGGCAATGATATTTTAAAATCTCCCTGCTGCTGATTCTGACTCTTCCAATCCATTCTACATGCTGTCACCAGATTAATCTTCTTAAATCACTGGCCATATCTCTAGGGCAATGTAATTTTCTGTGTTAGCTTTCATCTGGCCAATATGATTACAGTACTGTAGTTCTTGCTGACATTCAAGGCCCTCTATGAGGAAGATACTCTGATCTACATTAAAGCCCTGTGTCTCACTATCCTTCCACATGCAAAACAGGTATAATCATCATAAACATATATATGTAAGTATGTGTTTACACATTAAAAAATATTTGAGGGCAGTTTCACAATCTTTTTTTGGGGGGCAGTTTCATAGTCAAATGATAAATTTCCATATCCTTTAATCTAGCACTTCTGGAAATCTAAGTCAGAGAAATATTTGCACAAGATATGCATACATAACAATAATAATTGCAGTACAATTTGTTAGAAATGCAGGAAGAAATACTGAAGGAAACAAACTAAATGTCTTATAATAATGATTTAATAAAACTGATATAGCCATAAATGAAATATGCTCTCATATTACTGAAAAGAAAAATCTAACTAAAAGGAAAAGAGGTTCAAGATACATTGCTGTGAGAAAAAAAGTTTTTAAAAAGATCAGTGATAATTTTTTCATCTTGCCAAAATTATTCTGGGTGGATGATGATGATGATGATGATGATGCACTTGTATATGTGAAAAAGAAATTGCCAAAATAGGCATCGAAGAATTTTGAGTTTTTTGGAGGATGAGATTATATGAGATTATATGAGACAGATGTAACAAATATTTGTTACATATATTTCTGTAATGTCTGAGATTTTCCAAGAATGAACATACATTTTTATAATTATCAAAATACTTTAAAAAATAGTATTTTTTTAAAAAAACAAAGCAAGTGTACAAATACAAGAAAATAAAGCACTTACGGTTGTCGTAAATTGGATTAGAGACAACAGGAGGTAGCGCAGTTGTCAAATTACCATGCTCGTCAGGAAGAAAAACTTGAAAACACAGCCTCACCACATTGAGGTCGCAATCTTCAATATCAAGCAGCTGCTGTTCAGGAACTGAAGAGTACATTGTTCTTTTGAAATGCAGTGCAGTCACACAGAACTACAACCCTGCTAGGTCTTGCTCCCCACCCGTCCTAGTCAGGAACCTTGAGTAGCACCCATACTTGTCACTAACATAAATAGTGCCTACTATAATCAAGCATTCACTATCTAAGAGTATTTGATAAATAATAGACACGTTCAGGACGCAGAGGCCTAAACTAACATTAATATCAAAAAATTTTTTAAATGGAAGCAAATTATACACAACAGAATAGATCAAATCTATAAATTACCTTGTAATCCTACAAGAATTACTATCATTTCCCTTTTTATAGATGAGGAACTTAAGTGAAATTACTTGTTCAAAGTTTCACAGCAAAGAATTACTAAGATGGGAATCTGAACTCCAATCACTCAACCCAGAGCCTTTGCTTTCAGAAACTAGAAAATTTTACTTATATTCCACATAAAAGTGACACACACAGAAATACAGACTTAATTTTAAATCAACACTTTAGGAATAAAATGTCAAGAGAACATGATGTAAGACAGCCAGGTTCCACAAGACACTTTATGTGCAAATTAGGTTTGCTTAAAGAAAAAAGACTGTAGCATAAAAAATTGCAGTTACACATATATGTGTGTGTATATATATGTCAGAATAAAGACAGTTTGATATATTTAAAACAAACCCAGTTTAAAAAGAAAATATTGTGTTTTCAAACAATACCAGAAGCTACACTGTAACTAATATTGTCATATTTTTAAAAGACAAAATATA